TAAAGTTAGAATAAATTATAGAAATACCTAGTTCTAACCTGAAGTTCTGAAAAATAAAGTGTAAAAGCAGAGGTCACAACCCAAATCTTCTGATCTGATGTGTTTTACAAGGTACCTCTCATCTTCATAATTCCATCATATTTTTGCTTTATACGTTTCAAGATGAATTTTTAAGTGCAGTTGAGTTCAAGGCATACAGGGAAGCTATTATTGTTTCTTGTATCCCACACCTTCCTTCTATATCCAATGCCCATCTTACCAAAGTATATGTTTTAGTTCTTTAGCAAGAGTCTAGTTTTAAAATTATTTATCATTAAATGCCAATATTTTCCCTCATTCTCGAATGATAATTCAGTTGGATATAGATTTCTAGGTTGAACATTATTTTTCATCAAAAAAAAGGGTGGATATGGATAGAACCTCTCCCTGCCTCCCTAATGGCTTTCTGATATAAGTGATGTGTGTATTTTCTGGACAGTGCTTTTAAGGAAATGGGCATGCATGCCCCTTCTCCCTTCCCGGCAAACTCACCCGCCACCACGACCCCTGCCTAGGATACAGACCTGAGGGCCAAGGCTAAAGAAGCCACGTGGGATCCTGAAATAGAAGCCACAGATTGAAAATAGCAGAGCCACTTTACCAGTCCTTGACATCTTTTATGGGAGAGAAATAAGTTTCTATCTGTGTTTTAGGATGTCTTTTTTAAAAGCAACTTCTATTATGTCTTAACAATTGTACCTGTGTTCTCTCCACCCTCCCCTTTCCTTATGTCTTCCGTGTGTGTGTGTGCGTGTGTGTCCATGCATGCATCACCTTCTTTTTTAAAATTTTATTGAAGTATAGTTGATTTACAATGTTGTGATGCATCACCTTCTCATTCTAACCTCCAATCCTGCTGTTCACGTTCGTATTTTTCTGCCTCATTATTTCTCTGTGTTTCATTCGGGGTGACTGCCTTAGTTCTTTCTTCCAGTTCACTTGTTCTCTTCAGGTGTCTAATGTGCTATGTAACATGTCCCTTTGAGTTTCTAATGTCAACAAGTACATTTTTAATTTCTGTACTTTCCATTTGGTTCTTTTTCAAACAAACCTATTCTTTTCTTCATAATAAACTATTCTTTCATTCTATTCTTTCCTTTATGTCTCTGGCATTTAAAAGAAACCTATTTCACAATTTTTCAAAGTTAGCTCAATTCTTAAGTTGCTAATTTTCCTGTTTATCTTCGGGGTGCCCTTCAGGGTGATTCATTTCATTTGGTATGTCATTTTTTATTAAGACTTCACCTTCAGCAGGGCTGTTTATCCTAATGGATCCCTGTGTGTTTAAGTTGAAGAAATACCCCCAACACATTAGTTTGTTTCTGGTGAAATTCTGAGGGTTCTGGACCAGTTTTTATGGTAATTTCTCAGGTTGACATTTCTACGTCCCTTAGGTTGTATAAATTTAAATTCTATGTTTATTCATGGTAAGGCCTGGGAGGCATTTACATTTTCCCACCCATGGCCCCACCCACAAGAGTAACTACAAGCTTCCTGCTTCTTCACAACAGTGGTCAATGTTTTCTCTAGTCCCTCCTTCACGGATGAGGCACCTTGCGTAGACTCCAGGATTTATTGACAGAACTCTGTCACAGGGTTGTCAGACAAAATACTGTACACTCAGTTATTTTTTTTTCACTTTTTATTTTATATTGGAGTATAGTTGATTAACAATGTTGTGTTAGTTTCAGGTGTACAGTAAAGTGATTCAGTTATACATATACATGTGTCTGCTCTTTTTCAAATTCTTTTCCCATTTAGGTTGTTGCATAATATTGAGTAGAGTTCCCTGTGCTATAGATTAGGTCCTTGTTGGTTATCCATTTTAAATATAGCAGTGTGTACCTGTCAATCCCAAACTCCCTAACTATCCCTCCCCCGCACTCTTCCCCTCTGGTAACCGGTAAGTTCTTTCTCTAAGTCTGTGAGTCTGTTTTGTAAATAAGTTCATTTGTACCATTTTTTTTTAGATTCTGCGTATTAGCGATCTCATACGATATTTGACTTTCTCTGTCTGACTTACTTCACTCAGTATGACAAGTTCTAGGCAGGATACTCAGTTAAATTTGAATTTCAGGTAAATATCTTTTACTTTACATATGCACCATTCAACTTTTGGGACATACTTATGCTAAAAAAAAATATTCATTTTTTTACGTGTAACTCAACTGTAACTGGCATTCTGTATTTTCATTTGCTAAATCTGACAAGCTTAGTCACAGTGCCCTGCCTAAACCTGGCCTGAGGCCACATATCCTGTCTCTGCATGGGCCTCAACACCCCAGCCCCCAGATTCTCGGACCCACATTCAGGTCCAGCAACATTTAGCTACAGTTATCACACGGGTTCTGAGTTCCTTTTTCATACTGAGAACTAGACTATTTCCCTTACTTTTTGAATACTGCTTGTATATCTTTTCAATTGCTGCCATGTTTTATCCAGCCTTCTACATACAGGTAGTGGGAGAGAAGGCTTGTCCATGTCAGCTGTCTGCCATTTGTCAGAAATGCTTTAATTACTTGCTATATGCCACTCATCCTCCAGCTGAGCACTGTGTAATGCCACCCAATGGAAAGCCTGGAGCACAGAGGGTTAATTAACCCCAAGTAATGGGAAGACAAGGGAGTGTGCAGGGACAAGTCCTCACCTGTACTCCAGGGATGCTGCCCACAGAATTTTTCCTATAGGATGGATTCTTCAAAAGGGAGGCAGACATGCCCCAGTTTTAGTTTAGATTTGACTTCCCCCAAACCTGGGTATCCAAGGATTTCCTCTATATTTGGGAAGCATAAAAAAGGAAGTAAAATTCTGACTTTGCTGTGTTTTATTTTCACTGGGCCAACTGAAGATGAGAAGCTAGATGGTGAGGTAAAAATAGAAAATTACTAATGAAAAGGGGTTCAAACAAATATATTTGAAGACCTTAGTCAAAACCTAAAAAAATGTAAGACACTGAGTCATAGGATGAGAAAATAAAGAACTTTTGTATTGAAATGTTTCAGAGAAAGGCCCCTTTCAAAATAGTTCCAAATCAAGTCCTTAGAATAGAAAAAGAGTATTTTGTTTTCACTTTAGACATGGAAAATCCCGTGGACCAAAAATTCCAAAATCCTTTCCAGACATTGGTTTTCTTGTTCAGTGATTCCACATCCTCATGTGGGTTTCAAGGCAGTGCCTGATTTGTCTTTGAGCCCACATTCACCAAAGATCTCAAGTTTAGGCTTCTGACCTAATCTCCAAATGAAGTTTTACTTTCTGTTCTTGTGTTCAAGATAAACATTTAAAATACAACTTCTCAAACTCTGTTTCGGTGCTTTTTTTTTTTTTTTTAGTATTCCAGACATCTTAAAAATTGATTCGTGTCCTGGGCTTTCTGCCCCGCCTCTGAAAGGCTTTGCTATTAAAACCTCATGTTGTGTGAGCCTTAAATAATGTGCGTACCTCTAAAACATCTCCTACCTGATGTAAGTTCAAGAAATAAGGTGTATATTCTGCTAAATAGGAATTGTTTCTAATTCAAAGGAGAATGGAACAGTGCTTCTGATGCTTGTCTCTTAGCCCGGAACTCCTCTGTTGCATGAGTTCTTCAGTTCCAACACCTCCACTTCCACTTCCAGCTGCTAGGTCTGTAGGAATCCCTATAGGATAGGCCTGCCCCACTCTAAGAAAACTCACCAGATGACAGTCCAGAGTATGACTACTCAAACTCTCAAAACAAACCAAATCAGAGGACCATGGGATTTTAATACATGTCTTACTACAGAGCAAACCGTGTAGCTTGGGAAACATTTGGAAATTACACAAAAGCATAAATAAGTGGAAATTCCATATATCTTCACCACTCAGGTAAGTTTTTCTGCATAAAACATATTTTTATCAAAAATGAAATCAGGGTTTCCCCGGTGGCACAGTGGTTGAGTCCGCCTGCCGATGCAGGGGACATGGGTTCGTGCCCCGGTCCGGGAAGATCCCACATGCCGCGGAGTGGCTGGGCCCGTGAGCCATGGCCGCTGAGCCTGCACATCCGGAGCCTGTGCTCCGCAGCGGGAGAGGCCACAACAGTGAGAGGTCCGCATAAAGAAAAAAAAAAAAAAAAAAAAGCAATCATACTCTACAAGTTTTAGAATTTGCTTTTTTCACTTACCCACATTTTGTAAATATTTTCCACTATATTAAATATTTTTCTACAGTATTTTAGTAATTACACATGCCATTTTCTAAATGTGTGTTAATTTATTTCGTCAGTCCTTTATTTGAGGGCGTTCAGGTTATCCCCAGCTTCTCTCAACTTTGTGATAATTATCCTTGCAGAAAAGTTATTCTTGCAGTTGGTTGTGATTACTTCCTTAGGATAAATTCCCAGAGGTGAAATTGACAAGCTGAAGCGTATGCACATTTTCAAGATTTGAGGTACACATTGCCAAATTACCTTGTAATAGGTTTATCAGTCCCACCAGTAGTATTCAAGAGTATCTATTTACTTGCTTTAAGGAATCTGTGTAAACTAGGAAGTGATTATCTATTATGCAAAAGTATTCTTCATTAATGAAAAGGACTTACAACATAGTTTCTTTAAACACTGAACTGTCCTAGTGTATGTAACACATTATTCCATTTAAAATAAGTTTCAGAGGAAATTTTCTGTAACACAATGAATAAAGAAAATAAGGCCTTTCTCAATTTGATTTTTTTTTTTAATGGAGAATGCCACCTGTCAAAGAACTTCTCTTTCTGTCCTCGCCCAGACTGAGAGGAGATGCCTGGTACAGCACAGTTATTCTGCTCTTAATCCGTCTTCTATTTCATATTCAGTTTCCCATCATGCACTGGATAAACACGGCAGCCTGACATGATGAGAAGCCTTTCCTGAAGACTACAGCCCACACTCATCCATCCCTTCACTGAACTCCTATTATACTTATTGTCTGTACCACACAATTAGCACTTTATTATATACTGTCTTGTTCTCTAATTGCCTACACCACACAATTTAGCACTTTATTATATTCTGTCAGATTCTGTAATTGTGTCATGTAGCTTCGTCTTGTCTCTCCATGTAGATTACAAGCACCAGGGTGGCAGGGACCCTGTCTGGTCTTGCTTCAGCATTTCCCACAGCACCAAACAAACACTGTTTCAAGAACAACAAAGTGAGCCTTTGACAAATGCTGGCTGGTTTACTGGTTGGTGGGTGGGTTGGGAGACTGGTTGATCTTCTAATGGGTTTTAAGCCAGCATCTGAGTTATCTAGAACGTGGAGTAGAAAACAGAGAAGGTGCTGGAGAACAGAACACTTGGCACCGTGGTCATTCCAGCCACTATCCTTCAGTCCAACCTGCCTCATCACCTAGCAAGTCATTTTGTTTCTCTCTACCTAAGTTTTTCTATGTATATAGAACAGGGAAACCAAAACATGTCACCAAACAATACCATTTTTAAGATCACGTGATGGTTTTCATCTGAAGATTTTACATGATAGCATTCTCCCATTGGGCAGGCATTGCCGTGTAGAGGAAAGAGGTCATGCTTTGGAATTAGAGAGACTTCTTACGAGCTGCGGGATCGTTAACAGATTGTTAAATAAATCTCTCTCTCTCTCTCTCTCTCTCTTTTTCTCTCTCTCAAACTAAACTCTCATTCTCATCTCTGAAATTATTTCAATGACTGTAATTATTTGTGATATTACCACTGAGTGTCAGTAAGCCTGCTGGAATATTCTTATTTTTTCCAATTTCTGCAAATGCTACACCTTGAAGGAAGTGTTAAGAATGATTATTATCATAATAAACATAATGAATACCTCTGTTTGTCTCACACACCAGTTGAGGAGTGTCTGCCTTTGCCGTGAATCATGGTTTTGCTTCTCAGAGAACAAATCATATAGTTATACAATTTCTTTCTCTTTCTTGGTTGAAGAATCGCTTATGCTTAGTGGTCTATCACATGACATCAGACTTATTCAACTAAATAATAAGCGAAGAAACACCTGATACCCAGCATTAACAAATCCATGCCTCAGTCTGTCACTTTCACCTCCCGCTATAAACATGTAGGGGAAGGAGCATTGAGTTAACCTTATTTCTCTGAACTAGGAATGATACAAATAAAATGTTCTGTCCCTGTGTATCATCTGCTTTTCCCCTTCTGATCAGTATGTTTTGCCATACTGTGCCCTTTTCTGTTTTTGTCTTTGTTTTTTCGATTGGCAAGTACACGATAAAATGTAACTAGTCAAATAGTTGTTCAACATGTTATTCTCTTAAAACAAGATCAGTTTAGGACTTCCCTAGTGGTCCAGTAGAGGAATTAAGAGCCCACATGCTGCGGGGCGCAGGCAAAAAATAAAACGGAAACAAAACATCAGTTTAAGCCTCTCTGAAAGTGCTGCTCTAACCCTGGCTCTTCTCCACCTGAGAACGCAAGGAGCCTAAAGAGCTTTGAAGGGCTACTTTTGTAGGATAGAGGACACCCTTTAAGAATAGCTTTCCTCCGTTTGGGTGGGTTGCCTGAGTCTCCCTTTGGTAAAGAATGAGCTGTTTTCTTTTGGGTATCTGTGCTAAATGACCGTGTTCAATTTTTCTTTCAAAAGTATTTTTCAAGGTCTGCCGTGTAAACAGGCAGGGCCTGGGTGCCGGGGAGACAAAGGTGACTACCACACAGTTAGAAACTCATACTTGAGGAACCCACAGTCTGACGGGGCCAACCGTTAACTACCACACAGGGAGATAAGTGTGAATAGAATGTGTGTGGTCAGGCTGTCAGCTTGAGCCCAGCGGTGCCCACCACTAAGAGTCAACTCTGATAAATCTAAGGGAGCAGTGGACCTGGTTAGGAGCTGATTAGACTGAAGGGAAGGGTTGGCTTAAAGATGCTTTTATGACGCCTTGGGGGTGGAGAAAGGATAGGAAGGAATAGTCCTGGGGTGCGGAAAGGGGCATGGGAAAGAAAAAAAATCTTCTCTCCAACTTTGGTTCCCTGCCTAAGCTCCGCAGACTCATGTCTGAGCCTGTGGATGGAGAGCCTACCGGTAGAGATGGAAGGGGCTCAGTGAGACACTGGGTACAAGTCATGCCGCTTTGGGACCTGGGTGAAAAACGGTGGTAAAATGGAAGAGGAGGGGCTTCTCTCCATGTCTTTAGGCCCCAGGAGAGAGCAACTTTGGCTGACAGTGGCTGTGACAGTGGCTGAGATGAGACACTGCCCCCCAATGGCTTCATGGCAGGGGACACCAACAAGGAGCTGCAAGTCTCCCAGGGAACAATGGGAGGGAGCACAACAGAGGTACCACGTGCCTCCCAGGAACACTGGGGGAGACCTGGAGGGAGGGGTGTCCACTCCACAGGCAGGTGGAGGCACAGCCAATGCAATGCGAGTTATCACCACTAAGATAATAATCATTACCAGCAGTGCTGATGCATAGGTAAAACTTCATTAAACACAGGTTCTACACACACACAAGTTGTATGAACACAAAAAAGGGCTTATTTCCTGGTCACAAGATTAAGCAGAGTGATACCTACGCTAGTTAGTAATGGGACTGAGGTCTGGTAGGTGGAGAGATAGCAGGTCCAAGAAAAGTAACAAAAGGAGATTCAGACACCAACTTTGGGGATGGGGGTGGGAGTTCCGCCAGGCAAGCAGAGGGGCTTATGCAAAGCTCTGGGTGGAGGAGTTTCCCCGCACGATGGAACTAATGAAGATGGCCCCGAGGCTGTAGACAGACTGGAGTCAGATGACTAGACAGAAATGTCCAGAACCAAATTCTAAGAAAAGACTTACCTTCTGAGCTGAACAAAATGAAATTCTATCCCCAAGTACATGGTTCAATTGAAAGAAGAAACAAACAAAAATTCCAAACAGTACTAAAAGGCATGTTGAAAATTAAGTCCCTCCCTCCCTCAATCCCCTTTCCTAGGAGAAACAGTTGATAGCTGCTGGCATACACTAGTATAATCCACAGGTGGTTAAAATATTTAAATATTTCCCTTCAGGTTGGTAAATAGCCACTGTTTTGAGCCCGTGGAGTGCTGGCCGCCCAGAATTTCAATCAATCATTAAAGAGTTAAAGCTTAGATACTAGGGGGTCTCCAGCATCCCTCCAGCTCGAAGGCCAGCAGCCATCCCTGTCTGCCAGTGCTGAACCAGTTGTTAAGTATTCTGAACATCACTGTTAACCTTCTAGATAACTTATTTGCATATACAGGTATATCCCTACAAACACCTTTACTTCTTTTTTTTTTTTTTTTTTTTTGCGGTACACGGGCCTCTCACCGTTGTGGCCTCTCCCGTTGCGGAGCACAGGCTCCGGAGGCGCAGGCTCAGCGGCCATGGCTCACGGGCCCAGCCGCTCCGCGGCATGTGGGATCTTCCAGGACCGGGGCACGAACCCGTGTCCCCTGCATCGGCAGGCGGACTCTCAACCACTGTGCCACCAGGGAAGCCCTACCTTTACTTCTTTTAATACAGATGGAAGAATTGAATACGGTTCTGTGTTTTGCTTTTTTTACCTACTTTGGTCACCTTTACATGCATGACCAAATATAGACTGTATGTATTACTTTCAGAGCTAACATAATTTAGCTATAACTAAGGTACCTAACCTGAGAAATGGGGCACAGAAATAAAGAGTAACACTTTGGAATAACTTATGGGAGCTTTCCAGTAGACCCAGAAGAACTTGACCAATGAGGACAGTGGAAATACCACTGAAAGCTGGAATCTGAGAGTGCTGGACCAGGATAATGATGCCCTGACGGCTTGGATAGAAAGAATAAGGAGGGACAGGACCAGCAAAACCTCCCCAAGTCCCCCTCCAGAGGCCATCTGGGCTCCTGTCCCTGCTACCAGCTGACAGAGGGGGCCTAAGCCTTCCTGAACCTGAACTATTAGCACCTAAATTCAGATATTATCCAGAATCAAACCAGCCTTGGGTAAAAAATTTTGAACTGCACTTACCTCAATGAATTCCTTCCAGGGAGTTTCCTTTCATTCAAAAGGTACATATAATAAATTTTCATAAAACAGCCAAAATGTATTTCTCCTAATTGCTCCATCTTCACCTCAAATGCTGAAAGGAAGCATAGAATGTTTTTTTTTCCCCTGAGAGAGAAAATACTTATAGACTTGAACCAGATTTTTAAGTATCCTCTACATATCAAAAGGTCAAGACCACTGAATATACCTCTTCTTATAGTCATCTTCATCGTCAAAACCCAAAGGGCTAGTATGTGGGGTGGGGAAACAGAATTTTCCACGTCTAGTTTCTGTGTTTCTCATACATCTTTTTTTTCTCGTTATTTTTTATATTAATGAGAGAAACAAGGATTAAAAACATTTAAAATTAAAGATGTAATCTGTATAGATTTGGGGGAAAGGAGGATGGGGAAATGGGAGAAAGAAAAGATTAGCTAATATTTTTATTGTTTACTGATATTCCCAGAAACTTTCAGTCCAGAAAGTATTCATTAAAAGAGAAAGCAATTTCTGCTGATAGACTGCCATCTAGTGGTGAGTTTTTACCTTACGCATAATATAAGCTGCTACTGGGCTTCGGGATGCTTTGGAAGACATGCTTGTTTCTCTTTGAGATCTCTGGGGAACCTTACAGACTATTGTCACAAGTAGAATAGACTCACTTGTGTGTTTCCCAAAGGCCTAAGGTTCATGTGGGGAACAGCTAATGCAGGCTGAACATCCTTCAAAAGGAAGTCTTGCCTCTGTAATTATTTGAATATTGTCGAAGAAGCCTGGCCAAGGGCTTCCCTGGTGGCACAGTGGTTGAGAGTCCACCAGCCAAGGCAGGGGACACGGGTTCATGCCCCAGTCCGGGAAGATCCCACATGCCGCGGAGCGGCTGGGCCCGTGAGCCATGGCCGCTGAGCCTGCGTGTCCGGAGCCTGTGCTCCAGAACAGGACAGGCCACAACAGTGAGAGGCCCGCGTACCGCAAAAAAAAAATAAATAATAAAAATAAAAAAAGAAATGGGGGACAAAAAGAGGCCTCCGTGCCCTGGAGGCCCACAGGGCCCTGCTCGGTTTCACTCAGAGAGTGGTCAGCTGGGGAGGCATGGAAGCTCGTCAACCTTTCCCCATGCCTTGCCCTATGCATCTCTTCCATCTGGCTGTGCCTGAGTCGTATGCTTTTATAATAAAGCGGTGATTTAGTAAGGAAAATGGTTCTCTGAGTTCTATGAGCCCCTCTAGCAAATTAATCCAACCCAAGGAGGGGGTCATGGGAACCTCTGATTTACAGCCAGTTGGTGAGAAGCACAGGTATCAACCTGGCTCTAAAGTGGCAGCTGAAGTGGAGGGCAGGACTGAACCCTTGTGGAATCTGATGCTCTGGGTTAACAGTGTAAGAACTGAGTTAAATTACAGGATACCCAGCTGGTGTCAGGGAACTGCTCCTTGTCAGTGTGGGAAAACCCCCTCCCTGACACGCATACATTCAAATTGGTTCTAGAACCTTTCAGCAACCTCCCAAGAAGGTGAGGGCAACCTTTCTGGGAAACCACCCTTTACCTCAGTCCAGGAGCCTGGCTCCGCATCCTGCTCCAAGGATGGAACACGTGGCCAATCTGATCAATTACAGGGCTCTATATCCCCCAAGCTCTTTCCTCTACATCACCGAGTTTCAAACCTGAGTTGTAGTGAACAAAATATGATGTGGAACCCCAATATTTTTTAAAAAAACAAAGGAGAGTTGAAGGGAGTCAATGCCTCCAAACCCCACACTCCTGGTCTGCAGGTGGACAGACACTGTGCTCTCTGCACTGTGGGAAAAACAAAGAAATAGGACCCGGTGCCTGCTTGGAGCACCATCACAGTGGTGTTAGGGGGCAGGAAACAAAAGCACGAAAAGTTAATAAAGGTGATTAAATAATACTGGATAACAAGAGATGAAATGTCACAGAGCCCTTGCCACTCATCAGAAAAGTGTCAGAGGACTTTAGGCCAGCAGTGAGATTTTATTGTCTCTCCCTCCTAAGGCCTACTCAATTGTCTAAGACAGGTGTCACCTCCCCCTCAGGAAGACTTTCCTGAAACCCTCTCTTGCCTCATCATGCACACACTTACACATAAACACACACCCGCTCAACTAGCCCACTGAGAGTCTCCCCTCAGGGTTTCTTAGCATCTTTGCACAGGTCTGTATATATTTTTTTTAAATAAATGCCTTTCCCACAATTCACAGTAGAGGCTGTGAGTTTCTTCAGGGCAGATAGTGGATACTGGGATGTGCACCGCCCCCCCTTCTATTGAGACTCTTTCTACCCTCCCCTCTTTCTTTCCATCTCTCCTTCCAAGGGTGTCAGCCCTCTATGACAACCTAAAGGCTCTCCCCGCCTTTTCCTGCTCCCTCTCCCCAAAAATCTCCTGCACAGCAACTCCCATTTTAGCATCTGCTTCTTAGCACATCCTAACACATTATAATAAGGAACTGCTGTGTACTACCAAATATATATAAACATTTATATATTTATATAAACATGTATTTATTTATAAAATATTATATAAAATATATTCAGAATACTGGCTTATTGGCTGACAATATTAACCCTAATGGCTTATATCTTTTGGGTGTTGAAATACTTAATTTTGCATATATTAAAATGTGACTGAAAAAAAATACTAACATTGTCCCCTTGGAATATAATATTCTTTTTAACACTACAAAACAAATAGGTGTCACTAGGACTCTTTCTTCCTTCCTTCCTTTTTTACAGGATAACAGAATAGCAGTTAATAGTAACAGCTCCCAGACCACTTGAAATCAAACTACGGCTCAACCACTTACTCGGTCTATGGCCTTTGGCAAATCACTTAACTGTCTAAACATCGGTTTCTGATCTATAAAATGGGAGAATGCTTCCTCATCTGTAAAATATGAATTAAAAAAATGGTACCCACCACACAGAACTGTTTTATGAATTCATTAATGAATTAATTTCTGGTGCTGTGTGCAATGAAAGAATTATCCTAATGGATATAAAAGCACTTTGCAAACCAGAAAGCACTTTGAGAAATTCATTTTTTTCTAAGTGAAACAAGCATCAGCCACTGCCTTTTATGGAAAATTGAGGTTAATTCACATCAGCAAGAGAAAGCTGAGGACTTGTTTATGGCTGTGTTTCTGATTAACACAGCACTTGATATTAGACAATAAACTCTTGACGTTCCTGCAAGTGGACCACAAAATACCTGTTGTTGCAGGGCCCTGGACAGAAGAAAAGTTAAGACGGAAAGGAGCCCAGGACGCGGAAGTGCTAGGAAAGGCCTAGCAGAAGAAGGGGGGGCTGCAGCAGAGCCGAGCCGCGGGTGAGCACGCGCTGCGGGCACCCAAGTGCAAGTTCAGACGCTCGCAACTATCAGGAAGCTGCGACTGCGCGCCCATGTTCATTCAGGCCCCGGCGTTCGGGGGCCCCCTCAAAAAGAGGGAGCTCCACCTTTGCCTAACGCTTTCGGAGCGCGGGGCGACGCGGGGCGGCGCGGGGCGGCGCTACAGCCCCAAGGCCCCGGGGCGGGGCGGGCACGTGGTGCGCGGCCCCGGCGATAAAGAGCGCGGTTGGGAGCGCGGCGCGGAGCGGCGGAGGTGGACCAGCGGCGTCTGGGTGAGCGCGGCAACGCAGGCGTGGACTGACGGACGGACGGACGGATGGAGACTGACCGACAGCCAGGGAACGGGGGTAGAGGGCCGGGGCACTGGACTCGGCGGTGGGCGAGGCGCTGACGGCCGGACGCAAAGGGCAAGACAGGGGAGCTGGGAAATGGAGCCTGAGGAAGTGTGAACGCGACACCTTCCCGGCCCGGGCGAGTGTCTGTACGGGCGGGGTGGAGGGACCCACTCCCCTGGATTCTGTCCAGACCACAGAGCCGGGCCCTAAGGATCCTTTTTTCAAAATGATCAGAGGCAGCCACTGGGGGGAAGAGAGTTTAGTGATTAAGTGTGATACAATCGCTTCATTTGATGGGAAATTGTATTTCTGCATTTTTGTTTGTTTGTTTAGGTTCTCTATTTGTTTCTTCCTTTCCAAGTATTAATATTTCTCTCTCGAGTGATTCCTCATGCCCAGAGCTGCATCCTCCTCCTCCACCTTCCCCAGAGATTTTTTTTTTTTAACTTTTCCCTTTTAAGAGAATTTGACTTAGGCAACCTGAATTCTTTGCACTAAGGGTTCTTGTCTGTGGATAAAGGTGTAAGATTTCGAGAGTAATAGGCCCTGCCCAAGTGTTTCAGTAGTAACATTCTAAATTCACATTAAGCCGTAGGCTGGAGAACATTCTATTTGTGGGTTTTTTTGTTGTTGTTTTTGTTTTTTGCGGTACGCGGGCCTCTCACTGTTGCGGCCTCTCCCATTGCGGAGCACAGGCTCCGGACGCGCAGGCTCAGCGGCCATGGCTCACGGGCCCAGCCCCTCCGGGGCATGTGGGATCTTCCTGGACCTGGGCAAGAACCCGTGTCCCCTGCATCGGCAGGCGGACTCTCAACCACTGCGCCACCAGGGAAGCCCTCTATTTGTTTTTGATACAAACTATGACGAATTTGAAAGCATAACATTACCCAGTTTTTATTTAAAACTCGAATTTACAAAATCTGGACCATTCTAAGTTACGGTTGTTGTGATTTTTTACCCCATCTCTTCCTGTAGCAGTTTCACAGTTTACAAAGCCAGCAGTCTTTGCTCGTTTACTTGGTGTATTGCTCTGTGCAAAGACAGATTTTTGAAGCTGTTCTTGCCCCCTGATGGCTTACACTCTAGACAGACGAGCCAAAACTACCTTGCTAATATCCCTTATGTAAAGTTTTTAATGAAAAGCAAATGTTTGAGGGAATTCTGAAGAGTAAGAAGTTATTTTCATTTAGGGCCTCAGAGAATGTTCTCTAGTTTTTAAGGTGAGTTCTGAAAGTTGGTTATACTGAAGGAGCTGAAGTGGGAGATGTTGCCATTCCGGGTGGGAGAGCCGGACAAGCCAGCACAAGGTAGGTAGCAGTGGAGACCAACTGGGCTAGTGCACTTCAGGTGTGAAGACATCTGTATGGAGACCCAGACCATGGAATTTGGTATTTGTCCTGTGGAAGCCAGGAAGAAGTTAACTGGCCTTTTTCCGGCAGGGCAAAAGCAAGATCAGAAATGTCTGAGCTACTGGGCGGTTACTCTGGCAGCCTGACTATTTTGAAGCAGAGAGTTGAGATTAGGACAGTGACTCCCAGGCCCCATAGCTTTAACCAATCAAACTGTATTTAAGTGCACTTAATTTGAGATATATGGATATCTATATCTATCTATCTATCTGCCAGTCCAAGCTTTTGACCATCCTAAGAATATCCTTGTAACTGCTCTAAATATGAAAGAAATGCAGCCAAAAGCACAAGAATATGGAAATCTAGGGTGTACATCCTAGTACTTTTCAATTTAGGAGACTTTTAATGTGGAACCTAGCTCTCTGGACTCTTATCACTTGAACTTTCTTGAGTCCCTACGGGCCCCTTGGACATGGAGTTGTGCCCAATGGTCTAGATAAGAGGTAACAAAGGGTAAGTTAGGAGAGGGGCAGTAAGGCGGGAGAGAAGGATTGCAGGGAAAGAAGATAACAGTTGGAACTGAAATGACTTAGACTCTGAATAGAAAAGAGTAGCCAGGGTTGGGGAGGGGGGTACCAGTGGAGCTGAGATGACAGGAAAGAGTGTGCTGATAAAGGAATGCTACTTGCTAATGTCCTGTGGTCAGCAGACAAGACTTCATGGAGGGGACTGAACCTGTACTTACTATGTGCCTGGCACTGTTAATCATTCTACAAGAATTAAGTACTTTAATTCTCTCAGCAACCCTGTGAAATATGATGCTTGTTATCCCCATTTACAGAAGGGGAAACTGAAGCACAGAGAGGTTAAATAACAGTCCCAAAGTCACCCAGCTGGTAAGTGATGGAGCCAGGATATAGGCCCAGGAAGTCTGTCTCCAGAGCTGGTGCTCTAACCCCTCTACTGTAAGGAGCAAAGGAAGAAATTGTTTAGAAGACCAGGTGGCAGGTTCACTTTGGGCTCTCGAGTTGAGGTGCATGCAGGAAGGCCAAGGGAAGATGCGGGCACAACATCAACCTCATTTGATGCTCAGACCTTCCTCTGGGGTAGACTGGGCCTGTGTTATTGGCCTTGCATTTTCCCCATGGGCCAGGTGATTACATTTCTCTTCCAAAACTTCCAACAGGAGTTAGTCTCATCTTCAAACTAGGAAAAGTCAGAGAAACCCTAGTATCCTATATATCTGTTAAGGTTCCCCTTTATTGCCCTTCAGTACAGAGCAAAGCTACTTGAAGGATTTGGGCTTAATTTCAGGAGCAAGCCTCACCAGGGATGTATCTGTTTATAAGGGGAGGTATCATCGTTGGCCTTTCACAAAAGCAATAAGTTTTGCCACACTGTACCCTTTCATGTTTTTGTCCTTGTTCTGCCCTGTTTCTAGCTTCAAGGGCTCACCTGAGCCAGGACTCTTGGGAGATACAGAAAAAGTAGAAGGAATGATCTCTACTCTGGAAGTTTATACTCCTATTTGGGGAGATGAGATTAACAGTTATAAAGAACAAACAAAATGAGATAGTTCATAATTATTACATTATGTGGGTAAGATGTAAGTTGCTAGTGGGCATTTGTGTTTTTAAATGTGCCAGGGACCTCAGAACTGTAATATACCCTCTCTTGTATTTTCTCTAAGCCAAACATCTTTTGTACAATTGTCACCAAATACTGTCTGATTATATTTTATTTTCTTCTTCAATTGTTAGACTTTGCATTTGTGGCTTCGGATTTTCATGTCCTACAGCTCAAAAAATAACAATTCTTCTATAATTAGTTAAGTGGCAGAGCTGTGGGTTGAACCAGGCAGTCTACCTATGGAATGTAGGCTATTAACCAGGATGCTCTGTTGCCTCTCATTGCCTGTTGTGGGCAACTTCTTGGCTTTTTTTACGCTGGTTGTGGACAGGTACACTCTCTGCCAGGTGGTGAGGGATGCTTTTGCCTCAAATGAGTGTTGCCAGGTTCACTGTCTCAGAAGCGATCTCCCCATCTGTGGAAGTCGTCATCAAGCTACAATCTGAACACCTCATTCAATCACCCATATATTCATCACTTTTTAATTGAACATGAGATTTCCAGCAAACCACTGAGTGCAGAGGAAACAAAGGCAAATGAAATCTGTTTCCTGTCCTGGGGGAGCTTGGTCTAGTGGGGGAGAGGTGAATAAATGTTTGTGATGCGATTTACTAGAGCTAGGAAAAAACAGGGGAAAACTGGTCAAAACCAGCATATGAAAGGATAGTTAGGTAAATCTGAAGATAGTCTTGTAGATCACACTGAAGCCTTAAGACTTAAGTACTGATTTTAGGGGAGATTCTTGCTTAACAGTATGAAGGTATAGAAAGAGATAAGAATGTCTCTTTTCTCCTGACCATATTTCAACTTGAGCAATAAGTAATTTTGTATATATTCGACCTCGCTGAGTTAGGTTCATATTCTTTCTTCTGCTGTCATTCACCCCTGCTCTCTGAGGTTTCAGATTGCCTCAGTCATCCATATAGATAAAACAGGAGGCCTTTCCAATGGTATTTTCCCAGAACATTGCTCTCTTCTTGTCTCCAAATCTCCTGTCTTTAAAATATAGTTTCCTTCTCTATAAAATGGAGCTGTCACATTTTACATTCTTCTCATTTGCTCTGTGTGTTTGTATACTTGTAAGCATTTTTCACAGTTCGAAACTTTGTGGGAACAGACTTTGCCCCGGAGTTTTATCATTAATTGACATTCCTAGAAGAAGGAGAGGAATTACGCTGTATGTTTTCCAGACTTTTTCAGCAGCTCAATGGCCTCCCCGAAGAAGAAACTTCAAGGTCTTGTTGCTGCGACCATCACGCCAATGACTGAGCATGGGTAACTATGGTTTGGGACTAAAGGGATCTCCCTCCACCCCAATGGTCAGAAGGTCTCTATAGCAGCGGTCGATTAGACTCTGCAGCTTCTGCCCCTGCACTGTCTCTGACCCCAAGTCAGACAAGAGGTCTCTATATCACAAACAGTGCAGAAGGAGACGAGGTAAGATACGGCAGCTTGCCTTCCTCCCAGTGTCTGTAGCCCCACAAAGCAAATTCTTGCATTTCAGCAGAGCCCTGGCCTTCCCAAATAAGGCCAGTGGAGTTGGGTGAGGAGAATCTCATTTTAGCAGGATTTGATATCAAGTTCTGGCCTCTAGATCCTGTCTCTAGACTGTCCGTGGACGTGATGAAATTGTCCTACCGTGAGGAAAGTGGGGAAGGTAGCTGCCAGACGGCCCCCTTAGGCATGTCCTACAGTCACATTTCAACATTGGTTAAATGTTTGGGAGCTTGCAAGAGGGCGGTAACAGCAGACGATTGCTGAGAAATTGTTACCCAAGCAAGCATTTTCCAGTGAATATTATGGCGGTCCCTTTGCTGGTACTAGCAGTTAGTGGTCATGTGCCCCGGGCGTCCATGAGCAATATATAACTACCCCCTGGACATTGCCATTAATAAGTTGGGGATTCATCCAGCATCTGGATCTAAGTGTTTTAACCTGTTAGAGGATTCAGTTTGCCAAAACAGTCAGAATTCTGGCTTCTTTAAGCTTCTCCTTTCTTCCTCTATAAAACTTAAATGTAGTCATACCTACATCGTGGAGTTGTGAATATTAAAATGGGATGATCCATATAGTAGTGTTTAGCACGGGGGCAGTATGTGCTTAGGTCAATAAGTTTGAATTGCTATTGTGGCATAAGAAGTAAACAGAAGATGAGGTATTTAAGGTATCTTAAAGTAAGACTTTTACATTTTTGGTCTTCTGTTACTGAATTTTGTAAATCTTAACCCTACCCCTTTAAAGTAGATGAAATTTCTTATGACTTTTACCATTCTCATTCAAAGTTGACCATATCACAGTTTTCCTTGAGATCATTGGAGTTCAAGACTTCTGGCTTCTAAGATTCTTGAAAAATCACATCTTTACTCGGTCTAAATAAAATTCTTGCTGAGATGGCATGTAAATCATTCAGTGGTTAATAGCAATTTTTTTTTTTCTGTTGCTTCTCATTTCCACAAGCCCTAAGAAAGACTAAAGTCAGCTCCTTCTCAATGTGTCAGTCACTTGTTGGGCAGATAAAACAGAAGGCATGTGATTGTATGAGCAGACAGGATTTACTTCCTGTTATGGAGTAAGATCCTGTTTGCAAGCTCAAAACACTACATCTGGTTGATGCTACTTTAACCGTTTTAATCAGACCCCTCTTAGCCTAGAAGTGGCTTCTTCTAAGTCTTGTATGTTCATCTGGGACCTGCGGAGTGTCACTGTGCTTTCTCTATCCTGCCATTTTTCTGGGACACCAGGACCCACGCATATTAGATATAACTAAAACGACTCTGCTTTTCCGGATCCTTCTCTGTTTGCCAAATACCTCTGGCCCTGTTGCCTCCATTACACAATTTCCTCTTTCTTCATGAATTCTCTTCTCTTCCAGGACCCTCACTTTCTTAAGGTGTGAAATAAAAATAAAAATGCATTTTTTTTAATAAGGGCCTTGTAAGAATTTAAATTAAATCAAAATGTGTGTCAGTACATGGCACATAGTAGACATGTAAGTTTTGTTAGTTCCCTTTTCTCTCCATCTTTCTGCTCCATCCAGACATTCCTATAGGTATGAAGCAGGTTTGGAGCACCCACCAATAGCAGGTAGCCATTAACCCACTTGCCCACAAGGGAATCTGCATTTCTGACATGTTTCTAAGAGACAGGACAGAAAGAAGAGCCACATGGCATCTAACACCTGGAAATTCTGCCTGGGGACCAGCCATCATAGGAGTTTTCCTAACATGGCTCTTAGAGTAAACCATGGCCTCCGTAATTCAGAATGGCTGAACATTTTTTCTTCATAATTCTAATGATTCAACTCTGAATATAAGTTGATGTCCTAGAGTGGGAAAGTTGTCAGCAAAAACATGGTTAAAAAGATTTTAGTTAGAGTATCTGGGTTCTTGACCCCCAGCTTTGATACCACTAGCTGTCTGACCCTGGGGAGCTCTTGTCAACTTGTAAATTTCTCTCATTTTTTATGAAGAGACAGAGTTCAACCACATTATCTCTAAGGCCCATTCAAATGCTAAGAGTCTGAAGTCCTCTGATGGTAAATATTATTAGGGATATTGTGGTGATCTCCATTAAGTAAGAATGCCTGAGTACCTGCAACTCCAATCTATCCTCCACACTGTAGTCCAGTCCTCATAAATAAACCTAATCATTTGTTAGATTTACTCTTTAAGAGTCTGAATTCCCTTTTGTCTAAGCCTTGCTACTCGTACAGACCATGGACCATTAGCTCCAGCATCATGTAGGAACTTGCTAGAAATGCAGAAACTCAGGCACTGCTACATACCACTGAACCAGAACCTGCATTTTAACGGTGTCCCCGGATGATTCTTTAGCACATAAAAGTCTGGGATGAACTGGTCTGAAGGTTAAAGCCCAGGAGCCTGGGCTGACATAGGAAGTCCTTTACAGTCTACATCTCCTGCCACGTTTCTATTTCCCCAAACACCTCATCCCCTTTCTTCCCTCTGTGCCTTTACACATTGTTTCCTCTGCCTTTTTCTACCGTCACCCTCTCCATTCTCTGCTCCAATTGAATACATCTATTCATCCGTCAAAACCATCCTCTGGTGATTCTTCCCCATTTTCCATAGAAAGCATTATAGAGTCCTTCCTCTGTGGTCCCACAGTATCCTGTGCCTACCTTTTCACATTACATCACAATTATTTATGAGAGTTATTACAATAACTGTTTGTTACATGCCTGTCTCTCCCAACAGGCTATGAGCTGCTTAACCTTATGCAGATATTTATTGGGTACCAGACCATCCACAGGGACTGAGCATGTATCTTATTTATCTTTGTATCTTCAGCATCTAGCACGGTGTGTGGTAAATTTGGTTATTTCATGAGTGAAAAATTTTGTTATTTCATGGGGAAAGGAAGCTAATACTGATTGGCTAAAGATTATGTGTCAGTCTTCATGCTGGGCATTTTAATGGACATATTCCACTTAAATCTTGACAGCAACTCAGTGAGAGAGAGCTGTTATCTCTACTTTTGCAGTTGATGAAACCAAGATCCTAAAGATTAACACATAGCTGGAAAGGAAGGTCTGTCCCATCCCAACTCACATCTTTTTCTACACTAGAGTGAAAGACTTGCTTTCCTTAGTTGTTTCAAGAAATCACTTTCCTTTGGGTACATTCACAGTCGTTAGAAAGTCCATTTCAGATTGGCCAAAATGTCTAGAAAAACGTTGTGTTTTCTCCCTCAAATGCCCTTGACTTCACCATGGGAATCTTCACAACACCCTCTAGTAACAACAAACCTGTTACCCAACCAGTCAGAAAGGGCCTGGCCTGCTGGATGCGGAGTTGTATAGATTATTGTCTTTGTCACTATTCTGGGAGACTAAATGACCCAGATTTCCAGAACAGGATGTTTTCTACCTCTGGCAAGGTGGGGTAGGTATTGTCCCTGCATGCTTCTCTGCCAAAGGAATTTTGAAGTAACCAAGTAGTTATTTTGCCAGAAAGGGCACATAATTTCCATCTGATTTTGAATGGTGAACTATACATATAATAGCCAAAGAGATAGAACATCAGATTTTCTGATATGCATGCCAGCTCATGCCAGTTATGAAAAGAACCTGTCCTGTTGATTCGTGTTCTCAAAGTGAAAGTCTTTCACCGTGTGTGATGCACCGGGAGAAGAAATGTGCAGCAGTAGGGATTTTTCTCTGAAAAGCTGCTTCAGAAAAATTCTATTATCCATATACGCGAAGAGAAGAGATATAATCTACATGTAGTTTCACAATTCACCTGCTCTAGGCCTCAATTTGTGGCAAAAATGATTTGATAAACGTTCCCCCCTCTTACATAGTTTGGAAGTAAACTAAGTGTCCAAGAATAGAGGCTTAGCTAAATTAATTATGTTCTTCCATACAATGAAATGCTGTGCAGCCAGTATAGTAACAATATCTGAGAATGTGGGAAAATATCCAATTTGGAATGCTAAGTGAAAAAAATATTACAGTACTATGTACAATATGACTACATTTATTTAAGAAAATACTATATTGTGTATTTGTGAATAGAAAAATATCAAACTAATGAGAGTCGTAATCTCTAGGGACATCCTGACTGGTTTTTTTTTTCTCTTTTATTGTGTGTACTTTCTAAAATATATAGCTTCTGTAATATGAAAAAAGATAAGTACTTTTATTTTTAAAAAATCGTGGTCCTAAGACAAAGAATCTGAACCAATGAAAACTGAAATTAAGACATTACATTGGAGTTAAGTATGATGGTCCTGTAGTTAAGACTTCCCTGATGGGCCCGTAGTTGACTTTGCGCTTCCAAGGCAGGGGGCGCAGGTTCAATCCCTGGTGGGGGAACTAAGATCCCATATGCCATGCGGCATGGCCAAAGAAGAAGAACAACAACAAAAAACAAAACTAAAGCGTTAAAAATCTGTTCACGTTTACAAAACGAAAAGTATGAGAATGTCTACAGCAAGCATGGAGTTTGGTTCTGAGCCACTCTCCCCACAGGTGCTAAGAGGTGTTTGTAGCGCTCACGAAGGAAGAGATGAGGCAGTGGAAAGCCAGTGGAGCCTTTCCAAGTGAACTGGCCTATGCCATCTCTCACCTTCCAGGAGCAACAAGCCCCAAATGGCCAGCCAGTGGGGAGAATAATTACCCAATCTCATTCTTTCCACTCTCTGTGGTGACTGCCCAATAACTGGTTCAGTGCCTGCAAGAATGAACATAAACCCAGGCACCCTAGGGAGGTAGCGTAGGGTGGGAAAATAGGGAAGGGAGCAAAGTCCCCAGAGAGAATTAGCATCCTCTTGCCACCCTAGCCCTGCTGTTTGGGGTGCCTTTGTGACAAATATGGTAACACCTCTGGGTGATTTCCCTGGGCCCATTTGTGACTGGAGCCCTGAGCATCTTCCGTCAAGGGCTGCAAACCTCGCACCTGCAGTCAGGCAGGTGAAATCCCTGAGGTGACCCGGGGAGCTTCTGTGCCTCCAAAGCAGACAGCCACTGCTCTTCCCAGCCAGTTGGTGCTGTATGGAAATGCGGGCCTGGCCTTGTTAGATCATCGGGTTTTCTTTTTTTTATTATCTAAGTTACAGGTGTACAATATAGTGATTCACAGTTTTTAAAGGTTATACTCCATTTATAGTTATTATAAAATATTGGCTATATTCCCCTTGTACAGTGTATCCATATAGCTTATTTTATACCTAATAGTTTGTACCTCTTAACCCCCTAACCCTAAATTGCCTCTCTCCCCTTCCCTCTTCCAACCGGTAACCACTAGTTTGTTTTCTGTATCTGCGAGTATTCTTTTTTTTTGGGGTTATATTCACTAGTTTGTTATATTTTTTAGATTCCACATGTAAGTGCTATCATACAGTATTTGTCTTTCTCTGCCTGACTTATTTCACTTAGCGTAATGCCCTCCAAGTCCATCTGTGTTGCTGCAAATGGCAACATTTCGTTCTTTTTTATGGCTGAGTGGTATTCCATTGTATATATATCACATCTTCTTTATCCATTCATCTGTTAATGGACACAGCTTGCTTCCGTATCTTGGCAATTGTAAATAATGCTGCTATGAACATTAGGGTGCATGCATCTTTTCAAATTAGTGTTTTTGTCTTTTTCAGGTATATACCCAGGAGTGGAATTGCTAGGTCATATGGTAGTTCTATTTTTAGTTTTTTTGAGAAACCCCATACTGTTTTCCATAGTGGATGCACGAATTTACATTCCCACCAACAGTGTACAAGGGTTCCTTTTTCTCCACGTCCTTGCCAACACTTATGTTCTTATTGATGATAGCCATTCTGACAGGTGTGAGGTGATATCTCATTGTGGTTTTGATTTGCATTTCCCTTGTCTGGCTTTTCAAACAAAGGTGTTTTTTTTTTTTTAACATGAAAAGAAATGTTAACGTTGTGAAAGTCAAACAAAACACATTTAGGAGCCATCCCTTTTCATCCCTCTGATCTCTGTAAGGAGATTTGGTACTTCCAAAAGACCATAAGTCCAAGGACATTGTGGGGGGCTCTGCCACTGCCCCAGAATTCCACCATTAGTGCCACTCCTATAGGCTAGGGACATTTTATAAGAAAAAGCAAACTGCTTTCTTGAAGGAATAGATGATGTATCACCCATTAGCACCCCTAACCTGAGTGGAATTATCGTAGCTGTCATCCAGCAAGGCCTAAAGGAGTGGGGGAGAGGGAGTGAGTGTAGACAAAAGCACTGCTACACTGACGCCATAAAATAGCGCGGAGTTCTCTGAGGAAGGAGAAGGAGCTGGAGGGTTCACATGCTGGCCTAGATCTGCCTGAGGGTGTGGCCAGCTCTCTAGAAGGAGGACACCAGAGTAGGGCCAGACAAATAGCAGCTCTCAATACAGTCAGAGGGAAAGAGGATCATAGGATTTCACCCTATTTATTCCAGATCCACCTTGTCCTTGAAGTCTCCTTCCCAGCCTCCCTAAGTGGAATTAACAGTCCCCTGCTGAACCTCTATACTTTCTAACCAGTCACAGCCTTTGTCGTATTTTTCTCAATATTTTAGTTATTTACATATGCTATTTTCTTTGCTCAGTTAATATGGTAGTGAAATGTAAACACAACCTGCAAGTGTGGAGATAATCCGCTTTTAAAGCAGAGATTATGGGTGTTTCATCATCATTGTAAATTCCTGCATCACGGCTCCTTCACTAGCCTTTGTTGAGTGTCTGTGCTGTGCCAGGTGCCGATGAGAGATTGTAAGGTATAAAAGGCACAGTTCTTACCTTCAGGAAGTTCTTGCTCCAGACTGGAGGGTGGGCATAAACAGTTTACAAAGTGATGTTCATGATAATAGAGATATGAACTTTGCTGAGGGTGTGAGGAATTTGTCATTGAGGAATAATAACAGCAATAATGATTGAGCCTTTAACTGAAGCCAGGTGCAGTGCTGAGCACTTGTGCTGGACTGGCCGATAGAGTGCCACTTGGTAGTCCTTGCTGAGTTTAGAGTCCACTTTGGGGATACACACATGCACCCCAAAAGACTAAATGTCTTCCTTAAGGACTTCTTTAAATGGAAACAAGCTCTCTAGCTTCCCTTTCCAAATAAGAAAACATTAGATTAAACCAAAAGAAAGCACATCAAAGTGAGTACGGTGCCTACCAGGCCTCAATCATCTGGAGCTCTGCAGGCTCCTCCTTGCTGAAGAGGCCAGGCCTGCTCTCAGTGTCTCAGTATGTGGCCAGGGTGGGACTGGGGAGGTGTCAAGACTTCAGTGAAAGTGTGCAGGAGCCACTGCGTTTGAATCTGTGACTCCAACACAAGCTATTGCCCAGAGGCTTTATTTCCAGTTTCCAATCTGCGATTGGGAAGTTCCTTGCATGAGTAGATGGACATCATTGGTCAAAACCAAAGTTAGTGTCACACAAACAAAGCCCCAGCGAATCGTTCCTGCATCTCAGGGCTTGTTCCAAGCGGGGAAGAGCTGATGGAAGCGGCAGGGGGCTAGTGTGGTGTAAAGGTGTGACTCCAAGTGGTCAGAAATATCTGAGGCAGAGAGATTTCAAGAAGTTGAGCAGCTCAAGCTGACCTAAATGAAGGTCCTGAGGTGGCTTGTCTAGGCAGCTAACTCCCCCATCTTGGAGTCTTACTCAGTGAGACTGATAAGCGAAGATTCGGCATTTGAGCAAGTGGGACAGGGAGGGGCAGTGTTATGATATTTCAGGCATGAGCCATTATGGAGAGAGTTTGCTCCCCTTGCAGGCCTTTTAACTACATTAAAACCTACTTTTTCCCAAGTGGCAGCTTGGACTAGTTGTCTTTTGAGTGTTGTGGGCAGTGGTTGCCTATCCGTTCTTTGTTTTTATCTCTATTGTTCCTATTCCCTTTGACATATACAGTTTGATGTCTTTGTTTTCTATATGCATCAGATATTTTGGTTCCATTTTGTTTTTTAAGGAATACAATAAGTAAAGATGAAAAGAATGTTAATAAGGTTAAAATTACATTAGGATTCTCTGGCCCCGCTGACTAAAATGCAAAAGTACTAGCCAGCTAGTACTGAGTGTTCTTGGCAACCATGCAGTCTGCAACATTTAACACACTTGCCCCACCATTTTCCTTTGTATTTTCCTTCTCCATCCTCCATCCTCCCCACCTGTATTTTTTTTTAATAAATTTTTTTAAAAATTTATTTATTTTTGGCTGCATTGAGCCTTCGTTGCTGCGTGCAGGCTTTCTCTAGGTGCGGCGAGCGGGGGCTGCTCTTCGTTGCGGAGCACGGGCTTCTCATTGCAGTGGCTTCTCTTTTTGTAGAGCACGGGCTGTAGGCGTGCGGGCTTCAGTAGTTGTGGCTCGCGGGCTCTAGAGCTCAGGCTCAGTAGTTGTGGCACACGGACTTAGTGGCTTCGCGGCATGTGGGATCTTCCTGGACCAGGGATCGAACCTGTGTCCCCTGCATTGGCAGGCGGATTCTTAACCACAGCGCCACCAGGGAAGTCCCCCCACCTGTATTTTGATTGAGAACAGGTCACTTTATCTGATCTGTGAGTCAGTTTCTAGATTTTTAAACTCAATATGATTTTAAGCATCAGATCTTTGCAAGGTCAGTACTCTTCAAACGGCACAGTGCATGCAGATCACATGGATATCTTGTTACAGTGCAGATTCTGACCAGGAGAACTGTGTGTGGCCTGGGACTCTTCATTTCCAACAAATTCCCCCAGTTGCTGATACTGCTGTTCCGCAGATAACACTTTGAAAGGCAAAGTGATGACAAAGTTCCTTTTCAACTATTATCCCCCTTCAGTTTAACACTAACACATATAAATGGCTTTAAGCCTTCATTTATTGTGACAAATATTAAGTGCTAAAATTCTTAAATTACTAAGTCTGAATTTTCTTATTTTGTAAGCCTAAGAAATGATTGCTTCTCGCCACATGGAAAATGTTAAGTTCTTGTTTAACCATGCCCTCAACCATCACTCTGCCCCCAAAGGGCAAAAGATAATTACTTTTTAAGTATTACTTGTGATGAAGTTTAAACATAAAACCTTTGTGGATAACTAATAGTGCTTTTCTCACATAAGTGAGGCACATAGGGCTGAGTAGAGAAACCACCAGACTCAAGGGAAGAAAAAACCCCAAGCATTATTCAGAGCAGGCTAATAATTTCAGACTGGTTAGGTGGATTTGAATAACTATTAACAAGAGAGAGCAGTTTATAATTGTGGGGATGAATTGAATAATCTAGAAAAGAATAAATACACATTTTTTTTCTAATTTTTTGTCTTTATGTCTTTCAGAGAAATCAACTTCTCAGTCATTGGTCGGTATGTGGATTATCTCGTAGAAGAACAGGGAGTGAAGAATATCTTTGGTAAGTCATCTTTAGAGATATACAGATCTCTACATAGCTCTAGCTCAGTCCTTAGAAAGTAGCTGTCACCAGAATACTAGCTAGGAGGTCACAGTGTTATTGTGTCACAGGTTATGGTTGAGCCTGGCTAAGCCATGTAAAATTTGTGGACTTTTAGTCTCATCAATTTTAGACCTAAAAGATGATCAAGAGATTATATAATTTGGTAGTGCACCTGAGATAGGCTGGGACCTGGGACCCTTTACTGGAGTGCTTACACCGGGACAAACGTCTCTGCGAGCAACAGACTACAAAGAAACTATTAGGGAGTAAAAATCACTACACACATGAGCAGTGGGGGCAATTATGAACAATAAGATTCAAAAAGGCCACAAGCCAGCTGCCACTTCTAAGGTACTGCGAGCATGCCGGGTACCGCGCGTTATCCCTGCACCCAGCAGCACCGAGGGGGTGGGTAGAACACCTAAGCTACGCCTCCTGCCCAACCCACAGGCCCGCCCCTGTTGTTACCCCTTTTAAGGAACCAGCTCGCCACCTTGGGGAGTGAGCAAGGACACCTCTTTCTTGTTCTCCCTCCCTCATGCTGCAGCAGGAACCTCAGTAAGGCCTTGCCTGAATTCTCATCTGGCCTCTTACCAATTTCTATTGATTAAAGAGTCCAGGGACCCAGGTCTATAGACAGAGGTCGTTTTAGATCTGTAGTACACACCATTGTCTTCATAAGTAACTGCCACCTATGACCACCTTGACATCCCAGTACTGAACGGTATTGGTTTTCCTGCCATTCAAGCCCAAATATAGAACTGCCTGGCGTGCTCAGAGATTTGCCTGAGACATGGGCAGTTACCTCTGTCTCCATTTAAAATACTCTCTGTCCCTGAAAACAATGAGATTTGTAAATTACAAGTCATACTTAACCTTCCCACTCCTTTTGACAAGGTGAGGGTGGAAAAAAAGGCTGAGTCTGAGGTGGAAATGGAAACATGGCATCACCCCACCCACCCAGCTTCTGTCCTCTGGTGTTTCTCCATGTCCCTTCCTCTCGAGCAGGGATTTCTGCCCCCGCACTGCCAGCGTTGGTGCTGGAAGCGCGAAAGGTATCGGTTGGTCCCGCTGACTGACTCTCTGTTTGGAACAGTGAATGGCACGACAGGAGAAGGCCTGTCCCTGAGCATCTCAGAGCGCTGCCGGGTCGCGGAGGAGTGGGTGACAGAAGGGAGGAACAAGTGAGTGGCTCCATCATGATAAACACATGCATCTGCGAGAGCTGCGTAGACACAGCTATACCCCAGGTGACACAGCCTCCCTGCTCTCCGACCACAAATCAGGCCTGAGGTCAGCTTGTGGAAAGAGGAGCTGAGGCAGAGGAGGGCCCTTCCCTTCCGTGTGGAAGGGCAGCCAGACACACCCGGCTCTCAGAGATCCCATCGGGAAACTGGGAACAGCCTCTTGTTTTATCTACCAGGCCAGTCCCTCTGGTTCCCTGTCCTTGGCCTGAGGGGGTGTGGAGCAGGGCCCTGGCGACTGGCTGCTGAGCTCCTAGCCCTTCCGCTGAGCAGCTCATACTCCTTCCCATCTCAGGGTGGGTCCTGGTGGTTCTATCAGCCTGTTGCTTCCTTACAGTTCTCTCTGCATGTGACTCAGCATGCTTTTTGTGGTGCTTCCTCTTGTAGGCTTAGGGAGCTTTCTGCGTCCTCTAAACTTCAGCGAGTTAATGAATTTGGCTATAACACTCAGTCTGTGCCACGGTGAAACGAATAGGACAGCATCAATTCAGTAAGCACGGCAATTAACCAAGCTTGATTTGTGGTCTGTTCTGCACTGTTATGCATCGTGTGTTATGCACTGTGCTGGCGCTGGAGATATAAAACGGGATCTCTGCCCTCAGGTTGCTTACCGTCCAGTGGAGATGTCAGACCATGAAAACTAACACTGATCCTTCCGATAAATAGTGTAAACAGGGATCAGAGAAGGGTGATTGACGGTGTCTTAGGTGGAGGCAAAGATTGGAGGTAAGTCTCAAGTGAGCCTGGAGCAGAGGTGGTCAGTGCAAAGCCCCTGCCCACTTTGGGGACCCTTAAATGGCTTTAGAGCAACTTGGATACTCTGAAATTATACGCCAAATGTGACTGCGTGTCCACATAGGCACCTTCTAGTGATCTTCAGTTTTCAGCTAATTTTCAGTCAGATCCTGGGCCTCAAACATTTAAAGACCACAGGCAGAGTGAGGAAAGAAGAAGGCTAAGGGTAAACATCAAGAAAAGCACCAGAACCGGGAGGGATAGGGAAGTGGGCGCAGACAGAAAACCCTCAGAAGGGTCAGAGGGAGGTGAAGAGCAGATCCTGTCTGCTGGAAGGAAGGAAGTGTGCTTCAGAGAGCGTCGGGGGAGTGTGGAGATTAAGAGCAGGGCCTGCAGAGCCGGACTGCCTGAGTTGGGTCCTGAGTGTGCCTCTAAGTAGCTCTGTGAACTCAGGCAGCTCTTAAATGCCCTGTGCTTTGTCTGTGAAACAGGAATACTAATAGTACCTATCCTATGAGGCGCTGGTGAGGATTCAAGCAGTCTACACATATAGTACTAAGTATTATGTAAGAATTCACTGTAACTATTTGCAGTGGATGCTGTGTTCGTTATAACATTTGTTATAATCATTATTAGATGCTGTGAGAGTCAGTAGGATTGAGAAAGTAGGAAATGACCAGCTAACCTCAGAGAGAGCAGAGCCAGTTGGGTCATTGTCACGGAAGCAGCTGCCCTGAGGTTAGAATGCCGCAGACACATGGCAGGGGAACCAGTGAGGGTAGCTTATCCTCACCCCAAAAAATTTGCTGCTGAGGAGAAGGAGAGAAGGAATCATGGATTAGAGTGAAGGAAGCAAGATTAAAAGAAGGGTAGTTTTTTTTCTCTTAAAGCAGGGAAGTAATGAGCACGTTTCCGCGCTGAAAGGACAGTGCCATTGGAGAAGAGGTTAAAGGGAGTGGAGAACTGATGCCTTTGATGGCAGGTCTCCACGGGGGCTTGAAATAAACCCAAATGTAAGCAGAGTAGCTTTAGGAGACAGCTAAGAAGCTGGGAGGAACGCATAGAAGGTAACACAGCTAAGCGCAGAGGTGAGGAGGAGAAGGGAGGGAGTCTGTGTGTGGAAGAATCTTTATCTTTGGTGTCTTGGAAGCGAGGACATCTGCCAAGAACAAGGGTTTGGGTGGAATTTAGAGCTTGAGGAGAAAAGTCAAGATTTGGAGCAGCCGCTGCAGTGACTAGGAAAGGGAAGTAAGTCATGGGGACCAGAGGCTTTCGGGACCCTCGTCCTCCTGAATTGGGAAATCACAAGTTTGTGCTACAGCCACAGACCCAGCAGCTGGGTGGAGAGGGGGAGGGAATGCATGACTGTTTTAACCTAAGCCAGGAGACAGGGGTAGTGAAAGGTTTAAGGAGGTCATGCAATAAAGCTGCTGGTGAGGGGAAAGCAGACCAGCCAGCCACCTTTTCTCCTCTCAGAAGTCTTCTGTTATCCTTAACAGATGCAGACCTGATCATAGCACTTCCCAGCTAGGTCCCATTTTACCGAAGACAGAACAAGTCAAGAATCACAGGAGGACTCAATGCTTGGGCCTTAACGGGGGTGTGGTGTCTCCATCCCATGAGGGCAGCATGTGTGTCACTCAGAGTCCCTGGAAGACTCGCCAGCATGACTGCCTTCACAGCTGAGTTTTATTGTTCCTACCCTCGGAAGACCAGTCTAAGTGTGGCCTCTTCCCACGGGGCCCCGTGGAGCACCTCCAAAGATGAACACTGAGGTCTCAGAGAAAACCTCACTCGTGGCCAAATTCTGAGGACACACAAGATAGGAAAAAACTTTTCACAGTGAATTCCTTTCTCGTATGGCTGGTTCCTGGTTGTACTCTTTGAGGAACCTCTTTATTTTTATCTCCAACCAAAAATATCTCAGCTTTACACCTATTTTCATGCACATTGTCACCATCAAATGCAGCATCTCTAACAATGCATAGTCAAAATAAGGTACTTGACTACTGATTGATTAATCAGTTATTGCTTTCAAAATCCTGTTGCTTATATACAGCAGAAACTAACACAACATTGTAAAGCAATTATACTCCAATAAAGATGTTAAAAAAAATCTTATTGCTTAGTTGAACCTTAAATTTTATTCCCTGGACATTTTTTAAAAATCCCTGGTTAGATTAATTTTAAGTATACCACTGTAGAATTCAGTAGTCTTGGGATTGAAATTAGTCAGATATTAGCTAATTGCTAAAACCAGCACAAACCAAGGTAGCACAGCTCTTCCGTGTTACTATAAACTTCAAGTGATGCAACAGTGTTTTCTCTTTCGCAGGTTGGATCAGATAGTAATTCACGTGGGAGCACTGAGCTTGAAGGAGTCACAAGAACTGGTATGTATGTGGGTCCATCTGGGAGAGACCACTTGAGGGGCCTCCATCTTTATGCTTGAGTTAAAATCAATATCATTTTTGCTAAATATTGGATGCTGGAGAGTATAAGGTGTAGGACTGCAGGGAAGCCAACACAGAGCCACAAAGAGAGTAGCCCAAGGTGATAACTGCTGTAGCAGAGCATTTAGTAGGAGACAGAGGCACCTCTTCTTTTGGGCAAAGTAAGGATGGCTGTGGAGCTACCTAGTTTGCAGGTAAGGAACAGAACTTGAGCCAACCTAAGTTTTCTCTAGGAAGTAAAAGGCAAGGCCATCTGCTGGGCATAAAGGAGATGGAAATGGGGTTCAGAAATGAGAAGTGGTAAAAACTGAGAATTGCTGCCTGGAGAATGAAAGAGAAAACTTAAACAGAAAAAGACTGTCCCCACCCATGTTTATAGCAGCACTGTTCATGAGGTCGAAGCAACCCAAATGCCCATGGACAGATGAATGGATAAAGAAAAGGTGGTATATACATACGATGGAATGTTATTCAGCCTTAAAAAGGAAGGAAATCCGTCTTGTCACATGCTACAATAGGGGTGAACCTCCTTGAGAACATTATGTTAAGTGAAGTAAGCCAGCCACTAAAAGACAAATACTATATTATTCTTCTTATACTATGAGGTATCTAAAGTAGTCAAATTCATAAAAACAGAATTAGAGTGAGTCCCGCTAGGGACTAGGGGGAGGGGGAAAGAAGAGTTGTTTAAGGGGTATAGAGTTTGTCGTCTGCGAAAAAGAAGCAGGCTGTAAAACAAAGAAATGCATTTATTAGGGGTCCTTTTTTAAAAGTTGACGTATAGTTGATGTACAGTGTTGTGTTAGTTTCTGGTGTACAGCAGTGATTCAGTTTTATATTTATATATATATAGATACAGATATATAGATTAAGCAGTTATTGCCTTCAAAATTCTGTTGCTTGGTTGAACCTTAAATTTTATTCCCTGGACTTTTTTTTTTTTTTTTGTGGTACGCGGGCCTCTCACTGCTGTGGCCTCTCCCGTTGTGCAGCACAGGCTCCGGACGCGCAGGCTCAGCTGCCACGGCTCATGGGCCCAGCCACTCCGCGGCATGTGGGATCCTCCCGGACCGGGGCACGAACCCACATCCCCTGCATTGGCAGGCGGACTCTCAACCACTGCGCCACCAGGGAAGTCCCCTGGACATTTTTTAAAATCCCTGATTAGATTAATTTTTAGTAGACCACTGTAGAATTTAGTAGTTCTGAGATTGAGATTTTTTTTTTTTTTTGGCTGCGTTGGGACTTCGTTGCTTCGTGGGCTTTTCTCTAGTTGTGGCGAGCGGGGGCTACTCTTCGTTGCGGTGTGCGGGCTTCTTATTGCGGTGGCTTCTCTTGTTGCGGAGCACGGGCTCTAGGCACGCAGGCTTCAGTAGTTGTGCTTGTGGACTCTAGAGCGCAGGCTCAGGAGTTGTGGCACATGGGCTTAGCTGCTCCACGGTGTGTGGGATCTTCCCAGACAATGGATCAAACCCGTGTCCCCTGCATTGGCAGGCGGATTCTTAACCACCGCGCCGCCAGGGAAGTCACCGAGATTGAGATTAGATATTAGCTAACTATTAAAACCAGCATAAACCACAATAGTGCAGCCCTTCGTGTTACTATAAACTTCAAATGATGCAACAGTGTTTTCTCTTTTGCAGGATCAGATATATATATATATATATATATATATTCGTTTTCAGATTCTTTTCCATTATAGGTTATTACAAGATATTGAATATAGTTCTCTGTGCTATATAGTAAGTCTTTATTGTTTATTTTATATAAAGTAGTGTGAATCAGTTAATTCAGCATGGATGGACCTAGAGAATATCATACTAAGTGAAGTAAGTCAGGCAGAGAAAGACAAATACCATATGACATCACTTATATGTGGAATCTAAAAAAATGATACAAATGAACTTATTTACAAAGCAGAAACAGACTCACAGACATAGAAAACAAATTTATGGTTATTTGGAGTCTTAGAATTACAATTCAGGGAGCACAGATTCCAGCAACCACAGAACAGTGTCCCCTCTGGGAAACAAAAAGCAGGAGTTTTTAAAGGAAAACAGAAGCACACTTAGTTTCCAAAAGTTTTTTGTGAAGAGTTGTGACTGGAAGGTACGTATTCTTTTTTTTTTTCCTGTTACAATTTATTGACTCATCAAGTGTGTTTCACTTGTTATCAGTAAAGGCACACTTGTGCACAGTTCCGCAGGATGCCTTTCTAAACAGAGAGCTGCTTCTTTTTTTTTTTTTTTTAAGTCAGCAGGGTCAGCACAGTCACAGTTTAACAGGATGGAGCCCTAAAGTATAAAATGGAGTTCCTGCCGACAGCTCCTTCCAAAACTTTCAGATCTGCAAGATGAAAAAGTTCTAGAGTTCTGTTTCACAACAAGGTGAATATACTTAACAGCAGTGAACTGTACACTTAAAAATGGCTAAGATGGTGAATTTTTTTTAATTTTTATTTTTTGGCCGCACCGCGTGGCTTGCGGGATCTCAGTTCCCTGACCAGGGACTGAACCCAGGCCACGGCAGTGAAAGCCCGGAATCCTAACCACTAGGCCACCAGGGAACTCCCAATGTTGTGTTTTCCTTGGTCACAATTTTGAAAAATAAATTTAAAAGTAATTAATTTTTTTAAAAGGATTGCCCCAGTGGTGCTAAAAACCAACCAAAGTTGTAAGTCATAAATTTGTCATACCACCACTCCACACAGGTGTGGAGATTTTCTTCTAGGTACACTTTTCAACCAGAACATAGGAACAAGAACACAAAGACTGGATTGCTCTGGGGTTAGAGATGAGCAGGTTAGGTGGAGTAATATTGTGGCGAGGGAGGAAGGAGTTAAAGTTGCTAGCAGAAAAGTAAACTATGTGGTAGTTTTGAGGTCTTTGTGAATCAAGTAAGAAAAGAAAGCACAAAGATGTTGTAGCTTGGACTGTCGACTGAAAAAAAATGTACAACCTAAAAGTTGAGAATTATGTTTTATTCAGCAGACTTACTGAGGACTTAAGCCTGGGATACAGCCACTCAGCAAGCTCTGAGGGACTGTTCCAAAGAGGTAAGGGAGGAGCCTGGATGTATAGGAGTTTTTGGCTGGAAAATATATATATATATAGTTGAACATCAAAAGATTATTGCTAATCATAAAAACGCGCATCTCAAGTTAATGATTTTAGTGTTTTCTTGTATGGTAAGGTGCAAGAGATTGGGCTTATTGAAACCATTCCTTTGACATGCATGTTTTTCTCCATCCTGAGTTCCCCTTAGGTCGCACCGACCTGGTGCCCGCAGTGGCTGATGGCTGTTTGGCCGAAGCATCCTCTGTTTACTGAAATGGCAGGGACATTCTTTGTCCACATAACCATGTCCTCAGAATTTAGATACTCTAATTCCAAAGAGCGCAATGACTTGATCTAACCCCAACATCTGCTTGTGGGTTTTGTTTGATTCTGTTTCCTATGAATTGAATTTAGAAATGGAATGTATACTGTATACTTGCAAAACCGCAATTCAACGCTCTTAGGCAAGCCACTAGGGAAGACGTTACTAGGTGATTGCTTAGTTAGCCTAGAATCAGAACTTGGAAACTTGATTTATCCTTTTTACACTTGGTTTGTTCTGCTTAACAGTAGCTCTTTCAACTATGGTAGTGTAAAGGAGGAAATTTTTTTTCCCCTTCTCTTTTCAATTGCTTTCTTCTATGCATCATGTGAGTTTTAAAATATTGTCACGTATGACATGACAGACAGTGTCAACCATGGGGTTCAACACTATAATAGTATAAAGATAATCTTAGTATAGAGATAATCCCCTGCTGTGGGATAATCTTGCCAAGGAGACAGTAATATTGGCATCTGCTTAGACATAACTCTCCATTGGATGATGGTTGAATGGGCACTGACATCGACTGTCTCTGAAGTGGTTTCTTTTCCTTCCTTTCAGCTAAGGTTACCCTACTGCTCTTGTCCTAAACAAGGTGCTAAATAAATGATTCAAATATATCAATTCCAATCCTGTGTCAATAAAATCCTATCCAGGGTCTTGATTGTTCTTTGGACTATATCCCAATCTCTTTTTGACTCTCCTACTTTACTTCTGCAGAAAGTTAATCACATCTATTAGATACAGATATCACTAGCTTAAGTCTCAGAGGAAAGCCGTTTTTCCCTTTTAGGTAGTGGGGCATGTTTCAAAGCAATCAACAACATCTACTGAGTCCTGCTATGTGCTCAGCACCATGACTGACCTGAACACACGAGTCAATAAGATCTGACCTCTGCCCTCAGGGAATTCACTCTAGTTGGAGACCAGTAAGATACACAACTACCTCACAATGTGTTAGGTTTAAGTACTCTACTTGAAATAGATAAAAAATATTATGAGGGCCCAGTGGGAGGAAATGTTCATTTTTTTCTGAAGGAATGTGAGTAAATATCAGAAGAGTAGTGCAATGTATCTTCTGTGATATGTATAATCTTTTTCTTCTCAGCCTTTCTCAACTGCATTTCCAATCTGTAAGATAAATTTTAAAATATGACTCATATCTTTGGAGAGGAAAGACAGTATCATCCAGTGGGCTGAACACTAGAAGAGAAATGACATCTGCAAGTTTCTCTATAATTAACAGTTATAGTTTATCAAAATGAACTGCTCAGGCTTCCCGGGTGGCACAGTGGTTGAGAGTCCGCCTGCCGATGCAGGGGACGCAGGTTCATGCCCCGGTCCGGGAAGATCCCACATGCCGCGGAGCGGCTGGGCCCGTGAGCCATGGCCACTGAGCCTGCACGTCCAGAGCCTGTGCTCCGCAACGGGAGAGGCCACAACAGTGAGAGGTCTGCGTACCGCAAAAAAAAAAAATGAACTGCTCATGTCTCCTTAGCAAGTTTCTTTTGTACTGACAAAGTCTGCAGAAGAATAAGATTAAATACACAGCTCACCTCCACCAGGGGTCTCTACTTTGCAACACCTGGGATTTTCCTGGTAATGACATTTATCATTAAATGTGGTAATTTTCCACTCTCTAGGGGTACATCGGTTGGCAAATTTGAAGAGTTTGTTGTTAACCTCTAGTATCTAAGCTGTAGGTGAATATAACAAATCGTTTACTCCAGGATGGTTGTGAAATTGTGATCTATAACAAGAAATAGGTATTTGGTCTTTGTCCCATTTCTGGCACAGAGCTCCAAAACCCTCGAATTCCTGGAGATAAGAACAATAAAGGTGTCTCTTGTTATGTTAATGCGGTGACTTTTAGAAAGTACCTAAGGATGGGGGCTGGTTGCCAAGAGTACCAGGCATGAAAATTAGGGGTTGGAACTTTCAGTTAGAGTTGATATGATCAACCCTATTTGAACCAATCCCCAATGGCCAATGATATAATCAATCATGCCTACGTAGTAAAGCCTCCATGAAAATGCCAAAGGACAGATTTCAGAGAGCTTCCAGTTTTGTGAACTTGTGGAGATTTGGGGAGGGTGGTGCACTCGCACTGAGAGAAGACATGGAAGTGTTGTGCCCTTTCCCCATGCCTTGCCCTATGCATCTCTTCTATCTGGCTGTTCCTGAGTCATATCCTTTTATAAAAAGCCAGTGATCTCGTAAGTAAAATGTTTCCCTGAGTTCTGTGAGCCTCCCCAACAAATTAATTGACCGAAGGAGGGGGTTGTTGGAACCTCTAATTTATAGCCCATAGGTCAGGAGCACAGGTGATAACCTGGCATTTGAAATGGGGGTAGGGAGCTAGTCTTGTAGGACTGAGCCCTTGACCTGTATCTCCAGATAGATAGTGTCAGAGTTGAGTTGAATTGTAGGAAACCCAGCTGGTGTTTGAGAATTGCCTTTTGAGGTGGAGAAGACCCCACATTCACACACATCAGAATTGTGACCAATGGTTTTCTTTCTTCTTTTAAAGGCCCAACATGCAGCAAAAATAGGAGCCGATGGCATCGCTGTCATTGCACCTTTCTTTCTCAAGCCATGGAACAAAGGTAGGTAGATAGGTCAAAACGCACAGTGCTGTACATGGTCCGCTTCTTTATGCCTTCATTCCAAATGGTTGTATTTAACTCATGAAAGTAAAGTATTATGGACTGGAGGCATGAAGTTGCAATGGTACAGTAGTTCTCCGGAATATTCAGCCTCCCTGGACCCATAAAAGAGAAGAAAAGACTCCATTAAAGGACTTCAGCTCTTTTGTCAAGTAATCTGAGTAGGTCATCCACCAAGCCCTGGGTCAACCTACAGCTGCCTGTGTTTGGGTCAGGTGTCCACTTTTGGCCAATCGTTGCATAGAGTGTCAGAGTCACATGGCAAAGCATGAGACCATTGTTCTCAACAAAAGAGGAATATAAGTAATGGGCATTTTGAGACTACATGTACTATTCAAATTTGAGTAAGTGATGAATTTCAAAAGAGGTTTCACAGAAATATCCATTGTCTTCCAAAATATCTAATTATTGTTTTCTCTATGGAAACTATTTGTGGTTTCCAGGTATACTGAGTCTTTTTAATCCTTTTGATTAGCAAAAATGCAGGACAAATTTTAAAAGGATTAAAAACAGACAAAATGTTATTCGCATGCACGATTAAACAAATCCATAGCTAAATGTATAACAGGTCAAAATTGTCATGAAATATTACCTGTTATCAGTAAAATAGTCGTTAATATTGGTAAGTAATTTAAATACTGCTATTTGGGAAATTTAGAATGAACATTTTTAAAGTTTTTTCCAGATGGTTTTAAAACATTTTGCGTAAGACAAATGAAAAATAACAATACACAATAATTTTGTCAAAATATTTATTATCACAGTATTCAAATGTGTTCATAAGCTTCTCTCCCACTATTCAGTGGCATCCAGATGTAAGCAATTCTGCTGGATTTATTTATCATCTGTAGTAATGTTGCTGCTGAAGCTCAAATTGGATGATGTAGAAAATCCCAATTCCTCAGTAAACCAGAGTGAACTGTCTTCCGATATATCTGAATTTCTCTCCAAAAGGGAAAGGTACCAAACTCTGGTTGAGATGTGCCACTACTTTTATGACTTCCCATTTTGAGCAGATGTTGTTTATCTTTTTGTTGTAGAATTTACGGTTACAACTTTATTCTGATCTTAATGCAAAGTCTTTGCTGTTCACTGACCACACTTACCCTTTTGGGTAAGAGGAAAAGGATCCTGCCTGATGGGCTTCTGATTTTTGTAAGAGTATTTCATGAGCTTCTCTTAATATGTGGGAAGATTTGCACCAGTTTTTTAATAGCTCTTTAGTATGGTAGGAAACTGATCCTCTTATTTTGGCCTTTCTACAGAGAGGAAAATAAAACTTTGAATAAAGTGAATTGCAAAGACATTGCAGTAGCAGTCTCAGAGATGGTAAGAGTGTCAAGAATTTTTGGCTTCCAAAAAGGATGGTTGCATTTCATTAGACGGTTCTTTGTTTTTTTTTTTTTTTTTTGGCTGCGCGGCCTGTGGGATCTTAGTTCCCCGACCAGGGATCAAACCCATGCCCCCTACGTTGGAAGCGTGGAGTCTTAACCACTGGACTGACAGGGAAGTCCCAAAGTTCAGTTTTTACTGGCGAAAGCCAGTGTTTTACACTTGTTCACACCATGACTTTTCCTGCTGTTCTTTCAGATGTCCTGATTAATTTCCTAAAGGAGGTGGCCGCTGCTGCCCCTGCACTGCCGTTTTACTACTATCACATTCCTGCTTTGACAGGGGTAAAGAGTAAGTACTGCTTCTTTTCATGTTTCTTCACCTTCACCTCTCACATCGTACCCCATTTCACTAAGAAACCCCGGCTCCACCCCACCTCACCCTGTGTCACGAAAGCATAAGACTGTTGACTAGATGGTTCTAACAGCTCCAAAATAAGTCACTCTTATCAAAAATAAGTCAGCCCTTATCAATCATTGACACCACCTTATAATGGAAGATTTTTAAGTATGAAAGACGAGTTGACCCCTACGTACTTGTAGCAGACAACTTGTGTCTGTCACACACACCTCTCCGTCTTATGTGGGAAGACATAGCCTGTAAGCCCCACTGAGACAGGGATTGGGTCTACTTTGTACCCTACTGTGTTCTCAGCACCTGGCACACAGGAAGGTACTGCGATCTCTTCTCACTTTTCTTTTAGGTTTTCTTTTATCATTATCATACTTCTCCAGCAAGAAGATTGTTACAGTTAGATGAAATTTATTAGGTTGTTTTTAAAATGCCATTCCTTTCTAACTTCCTTAGAAGAAAAAATAGAAGTTGTGCTTTATAAATATCCATCTATTGTCTTCAAGGAACAGAAGATTTAGGGTTACAATTTGATAAGTACAGAGGAACTAGGAGGCAAGGGCAAGTGATTATGTTCAATATGTTCAATCTGCAGCCAGTTGCAGCTGAGAGCAGCCCCTGGCAGCTCAGTGCGGATGTGTGGCGCTAGATGAGATGTTCTCTGTTATTTTCTGGGGGTGTACCAGTGAATGAGACATTTATTGTTTTGAACAGTTCGTGCTGAGGAGTTGTTGGATGGAATTCAGGATAAGATCCCCACCTTCCAAGGGCTGAAATTCAGTGACACAGATCTCTTAGACTTCGGGCAATGTGTTGATCAGAATCGCCAGCAACAGTTTGCTTTCCTTTTTGGGGTGGATGAGGTAAGTTTCCCCCTGGCATATCCCAGCAGGTTTGTTTCCCTCTGCAACACTTGATGTAGCCGCTTATATAGTAGCATCTTTTCTCTTCTCTTTTTCATGAAAGTTAATACTCTCTGTCTGTTTCTGATCAGCAACTGTTGAGTGCTCTGGTGATGGGAGCAACTGGAGCAGTGGGCAGGTAAGCAGGACTCATTTTTCCCAATGCTTATTAGTGTAAAATCCCCCACAGAGGCAGTCATCACCTGCGCAGTTGTATTTCTTGCAAGTACACCTTTTCTAATAGCAATTGCCTTTCTTTGCCACATTCTCTTAGTGAAAAGGAATGAACTAGGGCTTAGCACTTTGTTAGCGACTCAGTCACTCTTATAAGAAGCATCTGTTGCAGTTAGGGGTGAGGCACAGAAGCTGAGAGCATGCACAGAACTTCTTTATCAGAAATTATTTGGTTACAAATAACAGAAAGCCATTCAAACCAGCTTATGTGAAAGAAGGTAAGTTATTATAAAATACTGGGAAATTTCATAAAACCCAAGGGGAGGAAGTGCAGTGAGGTCTCAGAGAAGATGAGAACCTAAAACTGCCAAGCTCTCAACAGCCAAGGCAGACCGTTCTCCCCCTGTGGTCCTTTGGACATCCCTTTATTTGCCTTTCTCTCCAGATGGGCTTTCTCTGCTTCAGCATGCATGTGGCCAGTCATGGGGCCCAAATGGGGCATCTCAGGATATCACTGGATAGCACTGCCAAGTCAGGTGTCCATGTAAGGTCCAGTCAGCTGCAGCTAGGAAGGTAGAATCAGTGGCCTGATGTCTACTCAGCAGAAGGCCTAGGGACGTTCAATTTGGCATGTCCACTGCACATGTTAACCTAGTTCAGTAGCAATGTGCCTGCAAGCAGATTGACTGAACTATTTACATTAACTGAAAGTGTATTTCCTCCCTGTGGGAAAAGTACAGGGGAAGCAAAGTAATACTCATAGCATATCTCGGTGAGCATGGCTTTGATGAAGAGTAGTTGGGTTGGAGGTAATGGTAATGGTTTGTTCACTGAGCCAGGATGCCTGCAACATCCATCATCACTACAGGCCATTTCCTCCAAGGAAACCTGAATGCCTGGATCTGCTGACCTTGGAAATTCTTTTTTTTTTTTTTTTTTCTGGCCCCCATACTAGGCATTTTTATTCTGTCAACAGAATCTGAAAGCAAAGTACATTTGATTACACTTCACTTCTCCTTAATTATGATCACATTCCTCTCTAAATGAGAATACTTCTGAGACCCCTGGGATTCAAATTAGAGTATTCTGAAACCCCTTAGACATTCATGCACATATCGCGACTTTGGGTGTTTCACATCTGCAGGTAACTTATCTCAATGATTATATTTTATTCTTCCCTCCTTTTTTACGAGAAGATAATGTGAACTTCACGTTCTCAGAATGCCTTGTATTGACTCCAGGGACTACACTTATTCACAATACACTATACACAATATTCTGTTCCTGGTACACCAAGATGAAACTCTTTTCTGATCCTGAGTTACTGTAGGAGAAGTCATTAGAAAGTGGGGAAACATCTTTGTTCTGAATTTCTAGAACCTTCTGCCTTGCTGGTTTCTCTAAGAACTCAGTGATCAGTCTAAGATATTTGTCTTTATTGGTAGAGTTAGAGATTCTTTTTTAAGTCAGCAAGAACATTTTATGATATCAAATAACATTCTCATCTCCATTTTTTTCTGAAATGTAATAGAATAAGCAGTATGAAGGGATGGTAAGCTTCTCGACAACTCTGTTGCCCTTCTTTGAGACATAGTTTCTTCACAGCAAAATGGAAACCACACCTACCTCACCGGGCTCTGAGAGGATTAGACATGGTTTATGTCAGGCACCCGGAATACAACAGTCAATAAATGGTCCTTGTATTATTATTATCCGTATTAATATTATTACTAGAAACTAGTCTCTGGGTAACATATAACTTGGCAAAGAATTTAGGTAATCTGCTAGTATTTGCCCCTTTTACTGTGGTGCTACATTCACCCAGTTCCTCAGCATAGGGTTTTTGGGACCCACCTCAGGTACTACTTTTTTTTTTTTAATTTTTATTTATTTATTTATTTATTTTTGGCTGTGTTGGGTCTTCGTTGCTGTGTGAGGGCTTTCTCTAGTTGCGGCGAGCGGGCCTCTCACTATCGTGGCCTCTCTTGTCGCGGAGCACAAGCTCCAGACGCGCACGCTCAGCAGTTGTGGCTCACGGGTCTAGCTGCTCCGCGGCATGTGGGATCTTCCCAGACCAGGGCTCGAACCCGTGTCCCCTGCACTGGCAGGCAGACTCTCAACCACTGCGCCACCAGGGAAGCCCTCAGATACTACATTTTATCCACAGTTCTTACCTAGCGTTGCACCTCTGTGTGCGCCCTGGGCCAGGTGTTGCCCTCAATCACTCCTTGCCAAATACACCTCTGTCTTTCACTTTTTTTCTAACTTTACCCTTTTCCTATTCTTCTCCCTTTTCTTTATTCCTTTTGGTGTTCTCTGCGTCCTCTGCACTGCTTAGTGTTGCTGGAAAACTCAGAACTGAAGATACCTGATCCTTTAATAGATTAGGGCCTAAAAATAGACTTCTGGAAGGCTTGGTAGATTTTTCCCTTTTGAGCATTAGAGGGGTTTGAGGAGCTGGACCTTCTCGCTAAGTTACTGATCCTGAAGATGTGCTGTTTTCTTTCCAGTACCTATAACTACCTGGGAAAAAAGACAAACCAGATGTTGGAGGCTTTTGAACGGAAGGACTTCTCCTCGGCCCTGAACCATCAGGTAAGCTTTCTTTTCCCTTCATATAAATCATAGCCTTTTTTCTTTCCCACTTGAGAATTCTTATTTTCTCTCATCAGCATTCCTACCACACCTGCCCTCCTTAAGATTGCCTAGCTGCTTCTTTCTGTATTTTCCTTCTTTTTCTTACTTTTTCTTGTTTAAAACCAAACCTGTGCCCATTATCCATGTTTCCTGCATGTCTCATCAGGACAGGCCCCACACAGGAATGACTCCTTTCTGTTCCTCCTAGAAATGATCTTATTTTTAGTCTACATTCAAAGTATTTTTATGACTGTGAAATAATGGTGATAGATTTTTGGGGAAATGACCACATGCCATCCCCTTGAGAACTTCACACCTGAGTCACCAGAGTATATAAGGAAGCTATGAGGCTGGTGATCTACAAAGGGGAGACTTAATCCAAAGTCAGAGCAGGTCAGTCCTCTTTGCCCTGGAAATGTGCTGAGAACTGAAAACATTCACCAGGCAGGAAACAAGAGCTGAATAGATGATCCAAAAGGAGACACTGGCTTTGAAACAGGAAGAGAAAAGCAGCAGGATCTGAAGTGTTCCAGGGAAGACCCCTGGGGGAAATGGTGGCTGCTGTTAATGTTACAGGGAGGACAGCCTAGCTGTCCAGAGAAGGAAGAGCCTCACCGAAGGGTAGAACCAGCCCCACAGCTGGTAGTGTGTATACGTTAGGTAAACAGAATAAGGTGGAAAGAAATAGGGTAGGCACTACAGAGAAACTTCTGGAGGCCGAGAGGCCCAGGAACTTTCAGGATCATAAAAGTGACTGAGAGGAGTGTCCCAAGAAAATGAGTGAGAATGAAAGGCATAAGCAAGATCAGAGCAGGTGGTCAGTCCCAGTAAATTTAGATAAGGGATCTTTTGAACAGGACAGGCCACCATCAGGGCTATCAGAAATTACAGAGCAGAAGTCGCAAAGCATCCTGGAGGTTTGAGGGAGTGACCTGAGCTCCAACCAAGAAGAGAACAGGAGGAAGCAGTTGCCAGCAGTGATTAAATACATCCCTACCCTTTAACCCTGCACACTGAGCAAGCCTAAATCTACTTCCTACTTAACTTAAAGTTTAAATAGCTTATTAATATTCACCTTTATTCAGCCCCAGACCAGGTGAAGCTGAAAGCAGGAACAGCATAAGGACTTAGGAAGCTATGTCAACTAGATTAAACATTGGCAAGACTTTGGTTTAAATTAAGATATGAAGTCTGAATTGTGTGGACTCTGCCATCTCTTTTCTTTTTTCTTAATTAGTTTATTTATTTATCTTTGGCTGCCTTGGGTTTTCGTTGCTGTGCGCGGGCTTTCTCTAGTTGTGACAAGCGGGGGCTACTCTTTGTTGCAGTGCGCGGGCTTCTCATCGTGGGGGCTTCTCTTGTTGCGGAGCACGGGCTCTAGGCACGCGGGCTTCAGTAGCTGTGCCATACGGGTTCAGTAGTTGTGGCTTGCGGGCTCTAGAGCGCAGGCTCGGTAGTTGTGGTGCACGGACTTCGTTGCTCTGCGGCACGTGGGATCTTCCCGGACCAGGGCTTGAGTCCGTGTCCCCTGCATTGGCAGGTGGATTATTAACCACTGCGCCACCAGGGAAGTCCCTGCCATCTCTTTTCATATACGATTTTCTTTTTCCTAAATTTCCCAGAAAAAATTATTTGAAAATTTCAACCTGTTCTGAGCTGAATGATGTGAAAATCATAGGATGGTGTAAACTGTGAAACAGCTCTGATACGGAACCTTTCCACTTAGTGGTTTCTTTTATTGGTTGATTCAATTTCCATCTCTTTTTCTTTTTTTTCTTTTAGTCCTACTCAAATAAATCATCTCACCCAAAACAGTATTGGTAAGCAGTTTAGTTTACCACATTCTGTTTTTTCTTACAGAAAGCAAGTGTGAGCAGGTCTCATTTACTCACTTATTAATATACCGTGGGCTGAACTGAATATATAATTTCAATAAAACTGGTCTCTGCCCTAAAGGAGTTTGCAGTCAAGTGAAGAAACAGAAAAATAAAAAGTTAGGGCTAAACTTACTCATTCTCATGGACTTTATTTTTGGCTGTGTTGGTCTTCGTTGTGGCGGCGAGCGGGAGCTACTCTTCATTGTAGTGCGCGGTCTTCTCACTGCAGTGGCTTCTCTTGTTGCAGAGCACGGGCTCTAGGCGCGGGGGCTTCAGTAGTTGTGGCACACGGGCTCAGTAGTTGTGGTGCACGGGCTTAGTTGCTCCACGGCATGTGGGATCTTCCCGGACCAGGGCTTGAACCCGTGTCCCCTTCATTGACAGGCAGATTCTTAACCACTGTGCCACCAGGGAAGTCCATCATTCTCATGGCCTTAAATGCCATGTTATATTTACAAAGTGAGATGACACATGTACAGAGATATTCCTTATAGCATTGTTTATACTAGCAAAAGATAGAAACAGCCCAAATATCCACCCATAAGGAAATGGTTAAATACATTATGTTTGAGTTATTTAATGGAATTATATACAGCCCTTTAGAAGGATGAGATACTTTTATATGCACACATCTGGAGAGATCTCCATGATACATTAAGTGTAAAAAAAGCAACAAAGTAGAGACTTCTGAATGTAATGTGCCATACTTTGTGTGTTAGGGAAGAAAAGAACATGTGCATTTCTGTTTGTAAGGCTTGATACCAAAATTTTATTCTGCATTGACTTTTTTATTACTAGTATACAATTGATTAAAACAGCATAAAAGTAAAATGTTATTGAAAATGCATCTCTTGATGAGATGAATGGGAATCTTTTTTTTTAAGAATTGCTTCATGAATTTGTGGATGAATATTCTTTAATGCTAGGATGAGTTAAAGTTCAGCATCAATACTATTTCTGTTTTTTGCTTTTATAGAAATAAGTGCTGTGATACCCTGTTTATATATATTAGTAGATAAGAATGGAAGAAACTTTGGTATAGCAATGTCACTCAGTTCTTCGAGCAGTTTTTGAGTCATATTCTTGATCATTTAATGATTTTCAACTGACAACCTGAATCACAACATTAAAAGCAAAGTTGAAAGGAAAAAATTGAAAACCCTATGATTCTTTAGAGGACTTGTTATCCATTAATTAAAGGACTCACTCTGTCAGCTCTCTTTGTGGATGCCAATGCCAACATTTTGATTTGCTCCTTTATTTGGTTCCCAGAGGTGTCCCAAGGCAGTGATATAAGAGGTATGTTTTTATTTTTTCAAATGTAGGAGAAGGACTGTGAAAAGGGAAATATAAAAGGACAAGCTACACCTCCAATATGTGCAACTTCTTATTCTGATCAATTTTAGAAATAGCACTTACGGAAGTTGAGGGTCTAGAAATTGCCATAAATCTTAGCCTTGACCAAGTGCCCCTGAGGTATCTTGGAAAGTACCCTAGAGGTTAGAGTACCCCAGTTTGGAAACTGCACCAGCTGATAAGTTTACCTCTGTAACCTAGGTGGGTAAAGGTTGCCCTCCCCATCCTAACTCTCTATTGTACAATTCCTTCATTGGAGCTTCTTTTCTTCATGGGCTCATTTCATAAAAGTTTATATACATGAAAAGATCCTACCTTATCCTGGGTAGATCTCAGTCATCCTCACTTGGCTGTTCTTCTCCACTCCAACAGACCCTCAGAAAACTAAGGTGTGTGGACTTTTTAGTTTGGGGTTTCTGCAGTTTGACCTCTAAATTCTTTAAATTATCACAGTTTAGTAATTACTGACTATAGATTTGTTTGTTCCTTTCCAGTTTTGTATTCAGAGATTTATCAACTTTGTGGTCAAACTAGGTAAGTTTCCCGCTTTGTCTCCTACTGGAGAGTGTAAAGGAAATAGACTTTCTCTGAGCGTTTCAGAGAAGGTGATGAGGGACTTTCATCACTTTCTCTGAGGGTTCAACAAGAACACCTTTTAATCAGCTACAAGCAAAGTTTTATTCCTAATACTAACTTTCAGGGCCAATCCTATAAAATGGTGAAGTAAACCTAGTTGGAAGGTCTTGGCAACCTTCTACAAATCTCTCTCCTCCATCTTAGCACTTTGTTCACCTACCCACTCTGCTCACACACCATTTTTTTAACCCCTTCTCTCCTACACTATCAACACTCCCTCCCTTTACTTGCCTCTGCTCATTAAAATTCTACTACCACACTATAACTGATGTAAGCCTAAGTGTTTAGAGGAAGGCAGTTTGAATACAGATCTTACTAAACTGTGAATGACTGACAGCTCTCCCAAGAGTATCTGCAATTTTAAAAGAGTTTATTAACACAAGTAAGCTTAAATGGATGGAGGTTTGAATAATATGACAATGTAAAGTTTGAGGGAAATACAGTGAATTTGAGTAGAGAAACCTCTCCACAGTCTCCTAAGTCTTATCCCATAACAAATGATAAATGCCACTATTCACTCCACTTCCGCAAGAGACTGGCCCTTCCTGAGGACCTGGGTCAAGTCCAGGAAAAGTTTTAGGTTTATTCTTGGCAGACCTCCTACCTTCCTTTCAGAGCCTTTCTGCCTCTTCCTGGCAACCCCTCCCAAGCCCTAAGCACCTATTATGTACTGTGCCCCTCATTCTCACAGGGTTTTCAGCCAACTCTTTATCCTTCAAAGACAATGCTTCCCATTTGCTTTTCCACTTTGATGATTTTTGTCCTATTTGTGTACCACCAGTACTATTATTACCTAATATCATTCCCTTGTCCTAAGCAATACTTCTCACAAAATCGTGGGTTTAGCATATGTTCCTAAAATGCATTAAAGTAGATTTTGAACTACTACTAGTTCTATAGTTTTTTAAAGAACTAAAAGTTTACCTGTACATGTAAGATCACTTTGCATACCAGCAGTGATTCTGCAGTAGTTTTGTAAAGTATAGCTGTAAGGTATTAGCTGAAAGGATTTACTCTTTTGCCAGATTTTTGGCATTTTAAAAGAGGCCTTTTGAAGATAGTTTTTATGATCTAAAAGAACATATCTTTAAAGAGCTCGTTTCAGACTTCCTTGGGGGTTGGAATTTTCATGGTTTAGTCAAAGAAAGACTTTTTTTTTTTCTTTCAGGTTTTTTGAGATAAAACTGACATGCAGCACTGTATAACCCTGTTTCTGTTTTATTATGTTTGTTCATTTTTTTGTTTTTTAGATTCCACATATAAGTGAAATCATACAGTATTTGTCTTTTTCTGTCTGACTTGTTTCACTTAGCATAATACCCTCTAGGTCCATCTGTGTTGTCACAAACAGCAAGATTTCATTTTTTTATGGCTGAGTAATATTCCATTGTATATAAGAGAGACTTAATCTTAATAAACATGATAAAGCCTTATCATGAAGGTAGCTCTCAGTCTTCCACCATTCATAATAAGCCTAGGAGGGCCATTTTGCATTTAGCAAAGTATATTCTATATATTTAGCCAAGCTAGTATTTTTCTTCCCAATGCTCAATTGTTACTGTAACCAAATTACCTTAGTAAAAGAAAGTTACTTCTCATACCTTTGATCCAAGAGCAATAGCCAGTTAAGAAAACAAATATCTTCCTGTGCTATATTCTGGATTACTTCCTTAGATCTACCTTCAAAATCACTAATTCTATCTTTAGCTATGTTTTCTACTGTTTAGTTTTACTGATTATATATTTTTAATTTCCAGCATTTCTTTTTGGCTTTTTCTTCCAGATCTTCCTGTTCTTTATTTATATGCCCTTCTCTTAGCCTATGGCTTCTATTCTTACGTTTATCTCTGTGAAGCCTCTTTCAGAATTTTGTATCATCTTTTCTCAGGATGTAAAATTTGTCAGTTGTGCATTTGCTGTCTCTCATGCAGCTTCTTTTTCCTTGTGTGCTTTGTAATTTTTAACTCTGATTTCATCTTCAGAGACAGCTGTTTTCTGGAGAATCCATCGTACTCTAGGTTGTGAGTTGTCCCATCAAATGATTTTACATTTGCCTCTGCTAGGACACTATAGTTTCATCAGTTCTAACCAGTCTTTAGGTATATTTCTTAGTATGGTTCCTGTACCAAGCACAGAATGCAAATACGGATCCAGCATTCATCTATGGCACAGGCTTGGGATTTCATTTATATGATTTTTTTCCTTCCACACCCTGGCAGAAGTCATGCTTCCTTGCCTCTCAGACCAGTGGGCCAGTTTTTTTTTCTATTTCTTTTCATAGAAGGTTGGCTACCAGTTTTATATGGGGAGTTTAATTCCAGCTCTTTGCTGTGTACAGACTCAAGGCTTCATCTTGCATTCCTGCCCTAGTCTAAAACAGCAGCATTGAGTCATAAACTACCTTAAATAGTGCATTTCTCAGGTACTTCTTAGATTTGTTTGAACTAAATTGTGACCTAGTGACCAAGTCCTACATCATTCAATCCACAACAGTGTATCCCTGAATCAGATTATCCTCATGGACCACTGGCTTCAGCAACTCCTTACTACTCTGATCTCTTTATTCCTGATACTTCTCGTTCCTCCTTCTTGCTTCTGAGGTTGACTTTGAGTCTCACTTTGTTTTGTTTTACAGTTTGTCAATTTGTTCAAAAGTTTCCAGCATTACTATATGTTTAAAGCAGGAATAGGGATTTCCTACATCTGCTCAGTCTGCCATATTGACAAGAAATGTTCCCATCGTTTAGTTCCACTTTATCCTGTTATAGTAATCACTGTAAGAATATGATCTCTTCTTCCGAGTGTTTGTGGCAAAGTGGACAGTGCCAGCCATGTTTCCTCATTTATATTTTCCTGTCTAGGTTTTGGAGTGTCGCAGACCAAAGCCATCATGACTCTTGTCTCTGGGATTCCAATGGGCCCACCCCGGCTTCCACTACAGAAAGCCTCTAGGGAGTTTACTGATAATGCAGAAGCTAAACTGAAAAGCCTAGATTTCCTTTCTTTCACTGATTTAAAGGATGGAAACTTGGAAGCTTGTAGCTAGTGCCTCTCTATCATATCAGGGTGTGTACGTTGAGATATAATCCACTTTGAATACTGCATTCATTTCTCAAAAACTTTTTAGATGAGTTTGAACTAAACTTTCCTAGCAAATGAAATCTTGCATCAATCAACAAGTATTTAAATACCTACTATGATCTTTTAAAAGTTTTAATTTATGAAGGGGCAAAAACTGTAAAAGGAGTTATGAGCCCTAAGTCATTCAATATGTCACAGAATTTTGGTGGAAAAGTTTTTGCATAAATGGATAATATGGAATCAAGAGGAAAATTGTAATTGATTAATTCCATCTGCCTTTGGGAGCTCCCATTATCTTGATTTCTGGTTGTTAATCCTATTTTAAAGTTTTCTAATTTTAAACCACCATAATGTACTTTCACTTTAATAAATATTCATTTGGAATCTAGGACAACTCTGAGCTATTGCATTTAGGCAGACATGCTAACTTTAATGCCAGATTACAGTGAGACTCAACTATGCACAACTGTTAACAAACCAGTTCACTTGGCTGCTCAGTCTAACTCTAGAATATCTGCTTTCGGATTAATTGCGATGTCGCAGTTTTCCCCCAAAACATTGGGTTAGGTGAAGACTTGCTTCAGTTACTATAACTAAAGGGCCATTAGGGTGGTTTTCACATAACAAAGGAAAGGCCTTCCCCAAAGATGAATTCAAGTCTCTAATTGTTGCTATAGAGAACTTCTCAAAGTTTCAAAGAGCTCTCTGCTCTGGGCACCACAAACTTCCCCTTTCCTCACTGAGAAGAAAGTGTCCCTCAACAGTGCCCTGAATTATTGGAAATGAAAGCCAGCATCCCTTCTGCCGTGAGCCCAGGGGCTACTTACTGTTATTTCCCAGTCACATTTTCACACAGTCACTTTTCAGTGATAAGAGATTTAGGGAGGACCTAAAGATTTAACTTTAACTTTCTCTACACACCTTCTTTACTTTTTTCTTTTTCTGGACTATATAACTGGCTGCTCAGTCTCCTCTCTAACAAACCCTGGTACATGCCTTCCAGTAACAAAGTGTACTGATGGTCAATCCTTAGTGATTTTAAACTGGACTATCCAGTCTAATAACTACCTAAGATTTTATTTTGTTTCTTATCTAATTAGTCTGCTCATTGGCAGAGGAAAAGTATTTGAAATTCATATCAGTTTACTCTATTTTTTAATTTTTAAAAATTAAAAAAGTGTTTGCAAAATGAGAATTTGAAATGATCAGTGGATTTGATTATCTTTGCTACCCTTCTCTTTATATCTCCTCACTCCTTTTTTGCCCAGGAATAAAACACACTGTTTTCTCATATTTCTCTCACCTTTAGGAGTAAGGTGTCTGAATTAGAAATTGAACCACGGTGGCTTATGTGAGCTTATATTCTACCTCACTGAAACTTTTCTCTATAGCCGTTAATTTCCTGAAAGAAGAACAGTGAGGTTTTTGTTAGTCTTTGGTTCTGAGGATGTCATATCCCTACTTAATGATACTAAAGCCAAATTAATTTTTCAGTGAAGATAAATATTGGATATCCACTAAGCAATGAACTCTGCTTTTCTTTTTTTGCTCTTCTGAAATTAGTGCTTAGAGGGCTTTTAACATGATTAATGAGATCTTGTGAACACAAAGTTAGTTAAACAAAATGACCAAGGGCTGAGTTTAGCTCTATGTATTTTAACATCCAACTCCGTAGAAACAAGGGACTTCTCTGGTGGCACAGCGTTTGGGACTCCATGCTCCCAGTGCGGGGGGCCTGGGTTCGATCCCTGATCTGGGAACTGGATCCCACATGCATGCCGCAACTAAGGAGCCTGTGAGCCACAAATAAGGAGCTGGCCTGCTGCAACTAAGACCCAGTGCAACCAATCAGGGAAGCACAAAAGAGAAAACCATTCTACAATTTAATACATACAGTGTCATTAGTGTTTTTTTACAGTTTGCTTTTGAGGATAATCTACTGAATTTTTCTGCCAGTGACATTTCAGAGTGAAGTTGTCTTCAGCAGTAGACTTCCACAGAGAATCAAGAGTATAACAGTCCAATATGTTTTACAGGTGATACCTGACAGTTTATGAGTAGCTGCAGATCACTTTTTTCTCCATTTTTTCCCCAAAGTCTTGGATGATGAACAGGAATCATGACTTTCACCGCCACTATAGTGCTCATATAAAGTTTTAGCAGCTTTCAAAATGGAGTCAGGAGAATTCAGGCCAACAAGTTGGCCCAGAACGTATTTCATTTCTTTAGTGGTTCCCTTAGCCACCTGGTTACCTGGATGAGTTTGAACATATGGATGTGCCAGAAGCTCAGGAGTGGATACCCTCTGTTTAGGGTCCCTTAGTAAACAACACTTTAACACATCTTGAAGAAGGTATAAATGGAAAATAGGGAAAGGTGTTTAGCAACGTCACTGGGAAGCCTGTGCAGAGTGCACCTAAATGCAAGTCACATCACACTAATTTGTTTGTGTTGGCCTTCTAGAGGAAGGAAAACCATTAGAAAACTTTCAGGTTTTTTTTTTTTTTTTTAAAAAAGAAAGAAACAAATGAATGTTATACAGCAGTGGGTTGCTAATAATGCCTTTAAACAAAAGTAAAATTTTGGAATATTATGAATTTATTGTTATCTTTGAATTTAGCGTTTAATGTCAAAACTACAGTAATGATGTGAAATATCTTATTTATCACAGTACTAAAAGCTGATTTTTAGCATCTTTTCCAAAGTGGAAATCTGAGATTAGTTCATTGGAGATGGTTGGAAGGTCGAAGTGATTTCAGGGACTGGTTTTGTTACTGAGTCCAACAGCACCTCTTAGCCAGTGTTATCCATAAGATTTCAGTCCAAGGAGTAGTAGAGAGTTGGGTTCAATATAGTATGAAATGGAAAACAGTATAACATGGTTTTGTGGGAGGCAGGGTTGGCCTTATGCTTCTATGTCTGACCTCAGGCTGTGTGGGTTCAAGTCCCAGCTCCACCACTTACTATCTGTGTGACTACAGTGTTATGTTTTTAAATATAAATTTATTTATTTTATTTCATTTACTTTGGGCTGAGTTGGGGCTTTGTTGCTGCTCGGGAGCTTTCTCTAGTTGTGTCGAGTGGGGGCTACTCTTCGTTGCGGTGCACGGGCTTCTCATTGCCTTGGCTTCTCTTGTTGTGGAGCACGGGCTCTAGGCACGCAGGCTCAGTAGTTGTGGCACACGGGCTCAGTAGTCGTGGCTCACAGGCTTAGTTGCTCCGCAGCCTGTGGGATCTTCCTGGACCAGGGCACGAACCCGTGTTCCCTGCATTGGCAGGTGGATTCTTAACCACTGCGCCACCAGGGAAGTCCCTACAACATGTTATTTAACTTCTCAGCCGTTCATTTATCTCATTGATAGCATGAGAATTATAATATCTATCTTCTGGGGTTATTATGAGGATTACACATATGAAGAAGGTCTCAGAATAGTGTCTGGCACATCTTAGGCACAGTGAAGTGTTAGTTATTGTTAGTTTTTATAGCTATCCAAGGCATTCAGTGTATGTTCTTTATACAACAGAGAGAAGCATTACATTGCTGCTAAACCTTTTAACTCAATAGGTGCCAAAATAAAGTCGAAAATGATATGAAACCCAAGAATTGAAATTTGCATTTATTATTACTGGAGTCCAGATCATAGTGCCACCCTCAGATTTTTTCGTAGGTTGGGAATTTCTGACTGTGCTTCTAACAGCAGAGGATGGGGAATGGAAAATATCTGTGGGTTCTTGAATGATCCATGTATCACTATTTGGAACAAACAAAATGAGAGAATGACTTTTGCTAAGTGATTTCAGAGGAACAAGCAGGTCAAAGGCATAGATGAAAAAAGTCATCATCATCGAAAGATTTGAAGTATTTATGTGTGTATGGGATAGGAAGGTATGTGACATGACTTTTTGTTTTAAAAATGACACTCTTGAAGCAGTGTGATGAGTAGATTGGAAGACAGACTGGGAACAGGTAAACCGTTAGGTGGCCTATTGTGATAGGTAACCAATGGCGGAGCCACTAAGGAAGTGGCAGCAGGGATGGAGGGGAGGGAATGGAACGAAAAATATTTAGAAAGAATCAACAGAACCTAGATATGGAAGATACAGTTGGCCCTCTGTATGTGCGGGTTCCACATGCAAGGATTCAACCAACTACAGAAGGGAAATATTAAAAAAAAAAAAAAAAATTCCAAAAGGTTCCAAAAAGCAAAACTTGAATATGCCTCATACTGGTAACTATTTACGTAACATTTATATTGTAGGTATTATAAGAAATCTAGAGATGATTTAAAGTATACAGGAGGATATCCTGTAGGTTATATGCAAACACTATGCCATTTTATTTAAGGAACTTGAGCATCTGTGTATTTTGGTATCTGCAAGGGTCCTGGGACCAATCCCCTGTGGATACTGAGGGACAGTTGTACTTGCATTTGTTCTTTATTTCATGTAACAAATCACCCCTAAACTTAGCAGCTTAAACCTGGAAACATTTATGAATTCACACAATTTCTGAGGGTTGGGAACGAGGAGCAGCTTAACTGGGTGGTTGTGGCACAGAGTTTGTCAGAAGGTTGCAGTCAAGCTATCGGCTAGAGCTTTACTCATCTCAAGGTTCAATTGGAGCTGGAGAACCTGCTTCTAGATTCACTTACCTGTAGTTGTGGGCAGGCCTCTGTTCCTTGCTGGCTCTTGGCCAGAGGCTTCAGTTTCTCACAACATTATGGCAGCTTTCTTCACCCAGAAAGGGAGATCTGAGAGAGAGATCCACGAGAGAGAGAGAGAGAGAGATGGCACACAAGTGAGCCAGAGCTCAAAATAGAAGCCACAGTCTTTTAAAGCAATCTCAGAAGTAGCCTACCATCCCCTTCTGTATGCTATTAGTCAAAAAGGACAACCCTAGGACAATGTAGGATGGGACTACACAGGGAATGAATTCCAGGAGGAGAGGATCATTGTTGGCCATGTTGAAGGTTGCCTACCACAATAATAAAAGAAACAGAATTGACACCCAGGAATCAAAGCCTGTGGGACATCATGTAGAGAGGCCCACCAAGCGTTTATGTATATTGATCTGGAGTTCAAAAGGTTTGGATAGGAGATAGAGGTTTAGAGGGTATCAACACATAGATAGTAGTTGAAACCATGGGAAGAATAAGATTGTCCAGGCAGAGCATATATAGAGTGCTAAGAACAGAAACTGGGCATGATTGGCATTTGGTGTGCTTACAGAGGAAGTTGCATAGGAGTCTGAGATGGACTGATCGGAGACAAGAGAGCAGAGCTGTGCTCGGAGGAACTCCAAAGTCCTCAAATGTGAGGGGTGGTGATGCTCAGAGAAGATTTGCTTCAGGAGTCTTATCCTTAGAGGGGAATGCAAAGCTCAGAGGAAAATGGGCAGCTGGCAAATGTCACCAGCCCCAAAGGACCAGGGTCTCCCAGCCACCGCTGAAGTCCTCTTTGAAGCGTGGAAAGCCCTGGAACCTCAGCAGTTGGGTACTATGTAGGTTCCATTCCCAACCACCTTGTTGCTCGGGACACAGACTCTTGGGCAGCTCAGAAGCAGCACAACTCACCATCGACTTCCCAAGCTGCAGGGCAGGAGGCTGGAGCTGGAAGACCAGCATCTACCCCACCCCTGGCTCAAGGGAAGGGAAGACTAAACCCAGGGCAGCTGAAGGACCTGCCCAGACCAAGGCCAGTGGTGAGCTGGTAAATGGTTGACAACTGGCTCTGGCAGAGGATGCGGGGGAAAGGGCCCAGACTTGTAGCATTTGCCTATTTCTATAGTTAGATACTCCCACCATGGGATGAGGATCAAGATGGCAGAGTAAGAGGATGTGGAGCTTACCTCCCCCTATAAATACATCAAAAACACATCTACGTGTGGAAAAAGTCTCACAGAAAACTAACCGGAAACTGGCAGAAGAACTCCTGTGCAGCTAAGGCTGCAAGAAAGATTCCCATGTAATCAGGTAGTGTTACCGAGTCCAAGCTCGCTCTGCTTGTCGCACGACACGGCAATAAATCGGGAGACGAGGTGCTGAGGCAAGGAATACATAAAGTCGGCAGACCAAGAAGATGGCCGACTAGTGTCTCAAAAAACCATCTTATCAGGGTCTGGATGCCAGTTTCTTTTATAGAACAGAGAGGGGGAGGAGGTGAGGAAGTAAAGTAAAAAGGCCACAAGTTTTGCAAATATCCCCTGGAATGGCCAGCCTCGGGGAGGGGGATGTGTTAATTTCTTCTTTCTAGCAGCCATTCACAGGTGGACAGGGTCGGGATGTTTCCCTGAACAAAGGCACTTTGTTTTAACATTCAGGCAGAGGGGCAGGGTTCCCTGAGGCAGGCCATTGTATAGACAGTATCCTTTTAGTGAACAATTAGCAACAAAAAGCAAACGTTAAAGTAAAGAAGCAGGGCTTCCCGGGTGGCTCAGCCTGCTGATGCAGGGGACGAGGGTTTGTGCCCAGTCTGGGAGGATCCCACATGCCACGGAGCGGCCGGAGCCTGTGCTCCGCAACGGGAGAGGCCACAACAGTGAGAGGCCCGCGTACCGCAAAAAAATAAAATAATAATGATAATAAATAAAGTAAAGAAGCAGATCCAACAAGGAGTCAGGGTTGGCTCTTCCCTGTTACAGTAGGATGGGAAGAAAGGCATCGGGTGGAGACCTGTGACTTTGGGAGGGGACTAAGGAAAAGGGATATCACACAGGTGGACACTAGCCCTGAGGAGTGATCAGGTTGAGCCACACACTGGGCATTCGAGTCCTGGGGTCCTACGCAGAAGGATAAGCCCCTTTGGCTGCTTGGAGGACCACTGGGACAGATAAAAAGGCTGGAGGAGCCTAGACTCCACTTGTGAGGAGTGCGCAGGTGCTGGTTTGCCATCAGACACGGTGGAGAGAGGTCTGCCCTAGCGGCTGCCTCCTTGCTATGCTCCCCAGTCTGAGCTAAGAGAACACCCTGGCCCCACTTATTCCACACCACAGCTTGGCAATGGACCTAGGGCAGCCAGGACCTGGGAAAAGACTTGATCTAGGGATGCCTAGGTAACCCAGGGGCCTGAGGTGTGGTCCAGGAGGGGCAGCAGTGGCCATTGTTGGCACTCACTCAAACAGCACCACAGAAGCAGTCCAGACTTCTCATGGCAGCCCAGCCACTTAAACCACTATGACCCTCAGTCCCAGCCTGGTGAATGCGCTGGCCCCAACCACTCCATACCGTAACTTTGCATTAGATGTGGGATGGCCACAACTGGGGAAAAGACATGACTTTGGGCTGCTTCTGAGCAGAGCAGTAGATGCCTACAAAGGCAGCACATTGAACATCTGTAAGCACACGAGCCCCATTTACTTCACCACTCCCCTCCTTTGAGGCAAAGGCTTCAGTGCAGGGAGGAGTAAAAACATACACTTAAAGAGAACAAAGCCAGCCTGAGTCCGACCCTCAGGGCTCTCGCTCCAGCAACTGGGAGCAGAGCCCACCCCTGACAGTGTGGGTGACAGCCACTGAACAGAGAGGAAGTCCCACCTCACACCGTGCACAGGCCCTAGCTCCTCCAGCACCAGTCACACCCCCTATCAAGGTGATAGTGGCCAGCACACCCTGAGAAAAGATGTGGCTGGTGTCCGCATGAAATCCAGTCCTCACACCAGAGACACTGGGCAAACAGTCTACATAGGGATGCTCCCACATAAAAACACCTATTCAAGACTACAACAGTTACCTGTTTTCACCTAAATTCATAAAGACAGAGAAAGTTAAGTAAAATGAAAAGACGGAGGAACTACTCTCCGTAAGGCCAACTGGCCCGAGGCAGGGGAACACAATCAGATTCACAGGTTGCATCAGACCGAATTCTCCGGACCACCCAGTTCCAGAAACTGCCCTGGAGACATTCCGGACCACCCAGTTCCAGAAACTGACCTGGGGACTTTGAACCCGGCCCAGCCTTCCCGCCTTTCGAGGGGCGAGACCAACGGTCCCCCAGGATACCCGAAAAGACCACCAAATAAGGGATACCCTGCGCCCTCCCAGATTCACCACAGCCCTTTCCCTTTTTCCCCTATAAAATCTTGCCCAACCCTCGCCCGGGTGCGACTTCTCTGGCACCTTTCTCTCGGACCAGTGAACCTCGCCCTGGAGCGCTCCCTAATAAAGCTCACTTGAAGCTTTCCTCTGTTTCGCGGTGCCGTTTGTTAAGATCCGACGTTACACTCTCAATTGAAAGAGCAACAGAAAACCCCAGAAAAAATAATGAAACATATAATCAGTCTACCAGACAATGAATTCAAAAAGTTGGTAATAAAAATGCTGTGTTCATTATCTGCTACAAAACACTTGCAATTCACTTATGCTAGTTGGGTTTCACTTATCATAAAAAAAAAAAACCTGCTGCTTTAAGCACCCTGGAAGGGGACAAAGAAACAAAAGATTAATGTGTTTCCCCTAATGATTTTGTTCCTATTTGAAGAGAGCAAACACATGGAGAAAATAAAAGAATGAGTAATGCTCGAGAATGCTGTGTTATTCTGATCATGGGAGCAACAGAGTTTTAAAGGGATTAATCACAGTAAGCTAGAAGAGTTGGGAAAAAACGTAGTGAAAGAGGTGAAATATGAGGATGATAGGTGTGATGGGGCCTGATAATTGATTAGCCTGGATTCTGTGGAACAACCCCAGGTGAAATATTTTGTATTGTTGCCTCCGTGGGAAGCACTAGAGTTCAAAAACTTAAGTGACTACCACAATCGTTAAGAATCCAGTTTATTCCAAAGACTCTGAAGACAAGAGGCTATCCAATGTGAGCAAAAACAACCTTGCAGTTTTTGTCTATTCATTAAACTAGTTTTTACTGAGCACTGGATGTACCAAGCACTGCAGCGAGCTAGCCAGGCAGGGTTCCTGCCTTCACTGAGCTTATGTCTTTCAGGAGACGTTCACGTTAGAGTATCTGACTTACTCCACCACCACCTACTGAACACCTATTGTGTGCCACATACACATGATAAGCTCCCTTCACATGCCATCCTGTTCAATTGCCTCAACAACCCTATAAAGTTAGCACCTGAGATTTCCAGTTCTGTCTTCGAAGGGCACCTCATCTTATCACAGGTCCCTATGACAGAAGCTGCAAAACATTTTGCTGCATTAAAATGCTACAGGTCCCCAACTCGCAAAAAACTTTCAAAAGTAGGTATTGCACTACAGGAAGAAGCAGGGCTGGGGCGCCCGGGGCCAGGCGCAGCGGATGTCCCAGCCGACGAGACTCTACCAGCAGCTTGGTAGCTGCAGCCCCGCCCCTCCCTCTAGGCGCCCTTTGTCCCAGGCTCGCTTTCTGCGCATGCTTAGCGCACTGACCCCGCCCTCCTTGGCGCCGCGACCGGAGCCATTTCGCCGCCGCCGCTGCTGCCTCTGAGTCCGTGCGTGTGGGTTTGCGTTCGCTGTGTGTCCGTCGCTAAGGCCGAAGCCACGGACGGTCCTAAGAGGCCTGTGCTCTCGGGTACCAGGAAGCGGACGCCGGTAAGGGAAAGACGTCCTTGTCACTCGTTGGGCCCCGCGGCTCTGCCGCCTGGCTTTGTTGCCAGGCGCGGGCGGCGGGGGCGGGGAGGGGGAGGGGAGCCGTCCCGCCGGGTTCCCGGATTGCGCGTTGCGTGCTGCTGGCCGCGCCGCGCTTGCGCTGTTCGGGGCCGCGAGGTGGCCCCCGGTTCTCCGCGCAGCTGGTCACGGTCCCGGCTCCGGAGCAATCAGACCCCACTTCCTCCTCCGCGTTGCTCGCGGCGGTGGCGCTGTCGCCACAGAGTGAAAGGGGGTGAATCGTCTGAGGGTGAGCCCGTCGAGGCGCCACCCACGCCTAGGGCCCATGCCACAAATACTGGGTGCTGTCCTGCGGGTGCTGTGGACAGAGTAAACAGGTTAGGCACAGTCCTTGCCCTTCCCTCCCAGAGGTTGCGGTCGTGGCGCGGGGGTGGCAGTAGGGAAACAAATGTCTGCAGGTTTCGGTAAAAAGATCATGAGGAATTAGTGTAAAGGGAGGGAGCTACTTTAGATAGGGTGGCAAGGGCAGGCTTTTCGGAAGAGGTAGACCTCTGAGCCGATATCTCGGCCATTGGGCGGAGAATGCGTCAGCTATGAAGACGCGGAGGAAAAGCAGAACTGCAGAGGCAGAAGGGATTAGTTAGTGTTTACTGGCAGGGACTGGAAAGAAACTGAAAGAAGGCCATGTGATTGGGGTGTGGTGAGAATTTAAGAGAAGAATGGATTTAGGGGTAGCCAGAGTGGAAATGGGAATTACTTAGGACGTTCTTGCCGTACTCCAGGTGGGCAGTAGTGGTAGCAGGGAGAAGGGAGAGAAGCGAATGGATTGGAGACACGTTTTGGACGCAGAAGTGCGCAGTAAATCAGTAGTAGATCAGGACTACCTGGCTTGGAATTCTGGGTCCCCCAGTTAGGAGCTCTGTCTCCCGGGGCAGGTTATTCTTTGGCTCAGTTTACTCACCTGTAAAAAGGGAATAATAGTGATGTTTATCTATACAGTGTTGTAAGGGTTAAGTAAAAAAGTTCACATAGATGCTCCTTTAAGGATACCGACTGGCACATAATAAGGGCTCTACAAGGGATAGCTATGGAGGATCTTGAGGGACTGGGAAATTCCCACATGGTGATGTGAGTAACTTGGTGGATGGAGGTGCCATTTAGGGAGATGGGAACACTGGGATTGGCGGGAAGAGGAACAGGTTTGGGAGGAAATTTAAAATTCTGTTTGAGATCCCAAGTTAGCATTCAGATGGGTCCGTTAGTGCTGCAGTTGGATGAGCTTCATTTTGGAGCTTAAAGAGAAAAGACTGAACTTTCAGTATATATTTGGGCATCATTAGCATATAGTTGATATTTAATATTATGGAGTTAGAAGAGGCTACCGAGGGAGGAAGGAATTTGATAGTGTAGTCCTTCATATTTCATGCTACTCATTCACGCTGAGGGCTTGTTTTTTAATTATTCATGGTTGGAATTTGTAGATAGACATCATCAGCGTTCCACAGCTTTTCATTAATAGAATGTCCCCAGGGTTAACCTATGACTACAGAATAAATTTTTTATACTAGGGTGAGGTTGGATGACAAGGCTTAGGTGCTAACAAAATGCACTAAACATTAACAGAAGACAGAGACAATGCTCTCGCAGTGGGGTTTCTTCTCACATCACAGCAAACTAAATTCGTAGCATATTTTCTCTGGTTCTTAATTTACTCTCAGATACCTTGCTTGTAACTCAGACTCAGGCTCCATATCTTTTGCTATCTTATAACCTGGAGTAGAGGGAGAATGCCAACAAGTATGGTATGTTGCACTTCAAAAAGACATAATATTCTCAAATTTTAATGAATAACAAGGCCTAAAGGAGAGATTTGGCACGGGATATTTAAGTTCATTGATTACTGTTTCCAGTTTAAGTGCTGTATTTGGACTTACTAACATTGCCTACAACTTTGAGGGCAGTCTGTTACGAGACATAATCCAAATGAGGATAAACTATTGGATTTATATATAAAATGATTGATGACCATTTCTTAATATAGTAGTTTGGGTTTGAATTTAGACCTCCACAGTGGATAACTTAGAAAAGTTACTAAAACTTTCTATGCCCTAGATTCTTCCTCTGTAAAAAGATGATATAGTAGGATCTACTGTGTATAATGTTATCTACCATTGTTGTAAGGATTAAATTAGTTAAAACACATAAAGTGCCGTTTGTAAAAAGTAGGACGTTCCATAAAACGTCTTTCAAGAAAAGATAAAAACCACTTGTAGTTACCTGAAGATAACGCTTGGGGGGATATGTCTTTTCCAGTCTTGATTTACCTATGCATACTTTTTGTGTAGTTCAGATCATACTTCAGTATCCTGCTTTTTCTTATAACATGTCGTAGACTTTCCAGTTATGTCATTAATATTTCTTCATAGGCAGTGTTAATAGCAGCATGATAGAATATCCTGTACTTAACCTAGATTTTCAGTAAATTCCAGGTTGGTAATTTCCAGTGTTTGTTCTTATAAATAATGCTGTTTTTAACTAACTTGTTTCTTAGGTCTGAAGAAGACACTTGAATCATGGGTGATGTTAAAAATTTTCTGTATGCCTGGTGTGGCAAAAGGAAGATGACCCCAACCTATGAAATTAGAGCAGTGGGGAACAAAAACAGGCAGAAATTCATGTGTGAGGTACTAAAAAAATACAGTTTACATTTATGTGACTTTTGAGGCTTATTTTATTATTAAAAGAACAGTGTTTTCTGTTTGAAAATGTTAATGTGTTGTACGTTGGGGAATCTTCTTTACTGTGACTTGCTTGTTATGTCTACTTCATTATGAATCATTTTCAAGTGAGCATAACTGTTTTTGGGGTTTTTTGTGGCTGCACCACGCAGTTTGTGGGATCTTAGTTCCCCGAGCAGGGATTAAACCTGGGCCCCCTGGCAGTGATAGTGCAGAGTCCTAACCACTGGACCTCCAGAGAATTCCCTGAGCATTACTTTTAAAACAATCTGATAGGTAAATTATTCTAATTAGAACGTGAAGCTTCCACAGCTTCCACAGTACCAGTAGTGCAGATTAGAAAAGTTGGACCAACGGTTTGTAGTTTTACTAGTTCCAGTAGAAAGTATATCAATTCTTTTTTAAAAATTTTTATTTTATTTTATTTTTTTATACAGCAGGTTCTTATTAGTTATCCATTTTATACACATCAGTGTATACACGTCAATCCCAATCTCCCAATTCATCCCACCGCCACCACGCCCCTCCCCACTTTCCCCCCTTGGTGTCCATACGTTTGTTCTCTACATCTGTGTCTCTGTTTCTGCCTGGCAAACCAGTTCATCTGTACCATTTTTCTAGGTTCTGCATATATGTGTTAATATGCGATATTTGTTTTTCTCTTTCTGACTTACTTCACTCTGTATCACAGTCTCTAGATCCATCCACGTCTCTACAAATGACCCAATTTCATTCCTTTTTATGGCTGAGTAATATTCCATTGTATATTTGTACCACATCTTCTTTATCCATTCGTCTGTCAGTGGGCATTTAGGTTGCTTCCATGGAAAGTATATCAATTGTTGATTGCTTCAAGTCAGAGTACTTTAAAATAAATACAAGTAGAGAGCTTGTTCTTGGGTCTTATAAAGTCAGATTTTAATGTGGAACATTCTGTTACATGAGACGAGATTGGGCGCATTCAGGGTGGTAATGGCCATAGACTGGAACATTCTGTTACGTGAGAAGAGAATATCTGAGCCACATAAGTTAACATTCTTGTTTTTGGATTAGTTTATTACTAGACAACACGAATTAAGTTTTTTTAAATAAGACAACTGGTGAATTCTCTTGTGTGTTATTGTCAGTGTGTTTATAGAGTATATTTCCAATAGCTAACTGTAGTCTCTTAATGGACTAGTGAATTATGATTTTTTTAAATACCAGAATTATGCAGGTCAGTCTCTCAAGGTATTTTTTTCTTGACTGTTAAAGGTTCGAGTGGAAGGATATAATTACACTGGCATGGGTAATTCCACCAATAAAAAGGATGCACAGAGCAATGCTGCCAGAGACTTTGTTAACTATTTGGTTCGAATAAATGAAGTAAAGAGTGAAGAAGTCCCAGCTATTGGGGTAAGTATGGCCAAGCACTCAGACATATGTTTTAAGGTTATGCTAATCCAGTATGTATGGAGGCCCAGGGTGATAATTTTTCAATGTTGTTTCCAAATAGTATTTTAATGTGTTCCAGAGTGAACCTTGGCATTTTGTTTTCTCGGAGAACTAGGATGATTTCCTGAAGATTTGGATTTTATTCTCATTATGTACCTGACTTGTGGGCTTGGGAGATCCCTTTAATCTGTATGTCTTAAGGTTTTATATATTTCATTCATTCAAAACTGATTTTTCAGAGCCTGTTGTATTCTGTGTACTTACAAAGATAACATTTTAAACAGAATATAAAAATCAGTAACTTTTTAAAAATATTTATTAATTGGCTGTGCGGGTCTTAGTTGCAGCACGTGGGATCTTTAGTTGCAACATGCAGGATCCTTAGTTGGGCATGCGGGATCTAGTTCCCTGACCAGGGATCGAACCCGGGCCCCCTGCATTGGGATCTTGGAGTCTTAACCACTGGACCACCAGGGAAGTCCCAAAGTCAGTAACATTTTAAGATACATTTCCTCCCATTGACATTCCCTTAGATAGTAGAGACAAAATAGTATTTGGTGCAATGGAATATCATTCTTGTGTTTTTGATACCATGATCATTTTAATTATATTGGGAGTGTGCAGCAAAAACCCCTTTCCAGTACTGTTTTTAAGAAATAAAGTTTGTCATTTAATTAAAAAATGAAAACTTGCATTTTCACAAAAATTCAGGTGGTGTTGATATTATAAAAAGATTCACATTATGATTTAAGTAGATGCCTTAGGTAGTACCCAGTTTTTATAAAACCTTTAGGAATAATCTATCAATTTTAACACTTTTCACTGAGTTTTTGTGTTCTGACTTGCTTATAAAGGTAAAAATACATGGTTTTTTTCCTTCCATTGCTTTTACCCAGAAATTGAGTCTTACTTTCTAGTCTACTGTACCACTAGATAATTACAGGATTTTTAATTAGATTGGTTGAGCCGTCTATAAAATGAAGGGGTTGGACAAGATGACCTTGAAGACTCTTCCTGGCTATGAAAAGAATGTTGCAAATATCTTTCAAATGTTTGAAGCTATTGGCCTTTGCTCCATCTGTTATGACCTATTCTGTTTCTTGTAGCGTCTTCCTCCCTCTTGTAGTGTAGGTCTGCCTGTGGCAAATTCTCTTTAATTCTTTTATGGAAAACTATTTTTATTTTACCTTCTTTCTTGAATATTTTCACTGGATATACAATTCTGAGGTGCCAGTTCTCTTTTCTTTCAGCACTTTAAAGATAACGTTCTGTTGTCTGATGAGAAGTCAGCAGTAATCAAATCATTTCCCCCTATATGTAATGTTTTCTTTGGTTGCTTTCATTTTTTTATCTTTGGTTTCTAGCAGTTTCACTGTGATATAACTATGCATGGTTTTCTTTGTACTTATCCTGCTTGGGGTTTGCTGATATTCTTGAATCTGTAAATTTATGTCTTTCACCCAATTTGGGAAGCTTTGGGCTATTATTAAAAAAAAATTTTTTTCTGCCTCATTTTTTGGTCTTTATCTGGGACTCTTATGTTACGTGTATGTTAAACTTGCCGATATTATCTCAAAGGTCCTGGAGGCTCTCTTCTTTTTCTCCTCTCTCTACTCTTCAGATTAGATGATTTCATATATATATGTATGTTCAGTATATGTTGAATATAATCAGTGTATTCAGGTTCACTGATTGCTTTCTCAGTTCCATTTTGCTGTTAAGTCCATCAGTGATTTTTCTTTTCAGATGTTTTTTCATTTCTAGAATTATCACTTTTTTTTAACAAATTTCATTTTTCTGATAGCATTTCTTACCTTTTCATTTATTATAAGCATATGTTCATAATATGACTGAATTTCCTTTATGTCACTGACCATAGTTATAATAGCTGCTTTAAAATCCTTGACTGCTAATTCTAACATCAGGCCATCTCAGCTTGGGCTCTGTTGATTGTGCTTTCTCTTGAGATTTCTCCTCTTTGTATGTCAAGTAATTTTGGATTATATCCTGGGCATTGTGAATACTATGCTGTGGAGACTCTAAATAATGTTATTCCTCCAAAGAGTATTTATTTTGTTATTGTGTTGTTAAGCAATTAATTTAGTTGGACCCAAACTGCAAACACTATCTTTTGAGTGATAGCTCAAATCTCACTTCAGTTTTCTGATGCTATGCTAGGAGGCTTCGAGTCTTTCCTGTATATATGTAGTTCAGGGGTTAGCCAGAGATTTGGGGAGAGTTTATACACAAAATTTGAGATTGCTCCTTTCCTTTCCAGGATTCCTTTCGCACTTTTTAGCAGCTTTGGTTTCCCCAAATTCTTACCCTCTGATATGTCAGGCCAAGAAGACTGGGTTTTCTGTTGAGTTTTAGCTGCCTCACATGGTCTTCCCTAGAGCTAAAAGGCATAATAAACAGGAATTATACCCTTGCTATTTCTTGCTTTCTCATTTCAAGTTCCTTCCAGAATCTGCCAGCTTTTGTTTACTTTTTAGTGCCTGTGTATAGTCGAGGGGGTTTTAGGGGTGTTTTAGTTCTTGTTTTTATTTTCCTAGAGCTCATGTTATCTGCAGGAGTCAGTCTAGTAGAAGCTTACTTGGGCATGCCATAAACAATATCCTACTTTCAGTTTTTTCTTGTTAGCATTTTAGCACATTCAGATTTTTCCCATTAAATGCTCTGAATATGCATTTTCTGCTTTCTCCCTCACTTCTTCCAGCTACACTGGCCTTCTTGCAGTTCCTCAAATATGCTGGCATCTTTTCCACCTCAAGACTTTCGTACTTAACTATTCCTTCTGCCTGTAGTGCTCTTCCTCAGCCATCCTGTTTAAAATTGCAAATCTGCTGTTACACTGGTACTTCTTATTTCCTTTCACTGCTACATTTTTCTTCATAGCACTTACTAACTTATAGCCTGCTGCTTCTCAACTGGAAGTCATCTTGTCCCACAGGGATGTTTGGCAATTTGTGGAGACATTTTTGTTGTTACAACTGGAAGGGAGTGGTGGTGACACTGACATCTAGTAGGTGGAGGCCAGGGGTGCTGCCAAATATCCTACAATGCACAGGACAGCATCCTACAACAAAGAATTATCCAGCCCAAAATGTCTGTTATACTAAGATTGAAAACCTGCTTCTAACCTAGTTTTCCCCCCAGATCGTCATATTAGAATTAAATTCATGAGAGCAAAGGATTTTTTTGTCTGTTTTTAGTTCATTGCTGTGTCTCTAGCATTTAGAATAGTTCCTGGCCCATATAGCAGGCATTTGATATTTTTTGGTTAGATGAATGAATGAATGGTGAATGGATGAATTTGGAAAAATATTATATCACAAGCCAGTCTTTACTTTTAGATACCATCTTTATTTCACCTCCCATCCCTGCCAAACCCTGTTTGTGTCACTTCACTTGCGTTTTCACTCAACAGAATGCACTTGCCAAAAATGACCTGTTTCTAAATGCAAAGGATACTTAAATTTTTTTTATTTTAATTTTTTTTATTTTTTGCGGTATGCGGGCCTCTCACTGTTGTGGCCTCTCCCGTTGCGGAGCACAGGCTCCGGACGCGCAGGCTCAGCGGCCATGGCTCACAGGCCTAGCCACTCCGCGGCATGTGGGATCTTCCTGGACCGGGGCAAGAACCCGTGTCCCCTGCATCGTCAGGCAGGCTCTCAACCACTGCACCACCAGGGAAGCCCTACTTAAATTTTTTATTGTGGAAAGTGTCAAATGTGTATCAAAGCAAGTATAGGAATGATATGAACCCCTGTGTTCCCATAATCCAGTTGCAACCTTTTTCAGCATGGCCAATCATGATTCATCTCTATAATTTCTATCTATATTTTTCCTTCTGGATTATTTTGTAGCAAATCCCAAACATCCTGTGATTCATCTGTTACTGTTTCAGTTTGTATCCCTAAAAGATAATCCTTTAAAAAACATAGCAATTCCATTATCAAACCTAAAAAAAAAAAAATTGAAGAATAGTTTCTTAATATTCCCAAATACCCTCAGTATTCAGATTTTCCTTGTTTCATAAATCCATTTTAATCCATTTTTAATAGGTTATTTAAATCATGCTCCAAATGATGTCCATATACTACAATTGATTGATATCTAGTCTTTTAATCATTAAATTCTCTCTCCCTCTTCCTATGTCTCTAATTTTTCTTTGGAATTTGTTGTTGAAGAAAGCATGTTATTTATTCTTTAGTTTCCCACAGTTTAGATTTTGCAGCTATATCCCTCTGGTATCATAAAACATGTTTCTCTGTTCCTCTATTTCCCATATTTAGTGGTTAGATTAGAGACTTGATCAGATTCAGATTTGTTTGGGGTAGAGGGGCAGGAGCAAGAAATTTCCAAAGGTGATGGTCTGTACTTCATCAGGAGGAGGTGCATGATGTGACGTTAGCAGCCATTGATATCACCGTGTAGATTTATTTCATTAGCACATTCCTTTGATTTCTGGCTGGAATACTTTTATAACAAGAAACCGCCTTAAAAAGCAAAAACAGAACCTCTCCTTATCAATAATTTAGTCACTCTGAGATATAATTTATACAGAAAAAGCAAGATAAATGTTTTGATTCTTTCCCTTTAACAATTAAAAGAGGGCTTCCCTGGTGGCGCAGTGGTTTAGAGTCTGCCTGCTGATGCAGGGGACACGGGTTCGTGCCCCAGTCCAGGAAGATCCCACATGCCGCGGAGAGGCTGGGCCTGCGCATCCGGAGCCTGTGCTCCGCAACGGGAGAGGCAAAAAAAGTGAAAGGCCGACGAACCAAAAAAAAAAAAAAAAAAAAAAAAAACAATTAAAGAAATAAGTTTGTCCCTAGCATCTTCCAAAGGTTACCAGCTAGGTTTTTTCCCACAATTATTATGAACTCATTGATTCAAATATATAACATTTTAATCCATTATTTTTATTGTTGATGTTTATTTTAAGTTGTCCCATTTTG